TGGAAGGCGAGACGACCGCCGGCGTGGGAGCCACCGTTGAGGACGTTCATGAAGGGAACGGGGAGGACGTAAGGCTTCTTGGTTCCGGCGAGGTCGGAGACGTGAGCGTACAGAGGAACGCCCTGCAATAAGTGGTTAACTGAGAAATTCATAGTATGAAACTCATATGTTTGAAGCTCACCTTCTCAGCAGCACCAGCCTTGGCGACGGCCAGAGATACACCAAGAATAGCATTGGCACCAAGCTTGGTCTTGTTGGGAGTACCATCGAGCTCGTTAAGGAAAGCATCGACAGCGGACTGGTCCTTGACATCGAGGTTCTTCTCGATAAGAGCGGGAGCAATGACGGTGTTCACGTTCTCGACGGCCTTGGTGACACCCTTGCCACCCCACTTGGACTTGTCACCATCTCGGAGCTCGCAAGCCTCGTGCTGACCTGGATTATCATGAACTTAGCGAGTGCATACGGACAATAGACGAAGGGGGTCGGGACGAACCGGTAGAGGCACCGGAGGGGACGATGGCACGGTGGAGGCCAGTCTCGGTGACGACGTCAACCTCGACGGTAGGGTTTCCACGGGAGTCGTAGACGGAGCGGGCGAAGACCTTCTTGACAGCCATGTTGACGGGCGGTATGTTTTCTAGGGGTCGTTGGGTTAATTGTTATGCCTTTAGGGTAAAGGTATGAAGGATGAAGAGGGAGAGGGAGAGGGAAAGGAAGGGGGCGGGGAGATGAAGAAGTGAAAGAAATTATATAGCTGGTTGGGAGTGGAAGGTTTGACCGATGGAACGGCCGGCGCTCCAACGGCCAGTGCCATGATAGAGCTGAGCGCCGGGCAACTGGACAATAACAGTGCCAGCCAGTGCCAGGAAAAGTCACTCAATGAATGAGTGGGTGAAATATGCCTCAACGTTGCCCAGCCCAAGCCAGCCCAGCAACGGAGAGTGGTTTGTTGTTGCTCATCACAGCCATACCAAACCACGCCAAATCAAACCAGCTCATAGCATTTTTTTGGTGGGGGTTATTCTAATCGGTGAGGGGATGACAGAAGGTGGAGGAGGGGCTTGGAGGGGGAGGGGGGCCAGCCCAAAGAGCTTTCTAAGGCTCAGGTTGCTCTGCTTTGCTGGTGTGCGGTTGCTATTGCTGAGGGGCAGTGGAGGGGTATGGACATTGATAATGGCTGTGACTATTTTATCTCGATTGAGACTCACCTTAGGTAAAGTGTTTATGTACGAAATGTAGGTATGCAATTGGAGTCAGCAGGACCTGTCTAGAGGCAAAAGAGAAAGATGGTAAGAGGATAGATAAGAGGTATTGGATGCAAAGAAGATGAGAAGGAAGAGAGAGAGAGAGGGAAAAGGATGACTACAGGAGGGGAGCACAAGGTGTTTATGAATGGTTTCTGGAAACCAGAGGAAATCCGTCGATCCATTAAAAGCCAAAAGTCAAAGCTCATTCCTCAAATGGGAGGCCCAGCCCAGTCAACGGTTGACACGAGAAAGTGATGAGATGTACGTAGCCTCCCATCTCCCGTCTTGTCTGTCCCGTCTGCACGATCTTCCATGTCCCTCTCACCAAAAATTACCTGCAAGGTGGGGTCCGATTGACCTTGGAGGGGTGAAAATGATCTCACAAATCTCACCCTGGCCAATTCAACCCAGAGGAGGGGTCCAAAAGTCCAGGTCTATTCTCCCCTGGACTGGGCTCAGGTCCCACCCGACTCGACGAAGCTTTGTTACAATCGCCTAGATCCAACCATCCCACATTGCCAAAAGCCACCTCAATGGTTCGCCGCTCACCTCGAGATCCATTGACAATAAGATTCCTGTAAACGACCGACAAGAGAACACGCCAGGGTCCCAGTAAGCTACATGGGTTATTTAAAGGACGTCAAACATTGCTACTCCCTGTGTGTTAGATCGGCGTTGGCATTGGGTGATTACTAGTGATATGGAATTTTGCCGCCTTAGCATGCTATATTTCACGCCCGCCGACACAGCGCCGCACCAAGACCGAGAGGAGACCAGAGGATGGAAAACAGACCGAGGAATCATAATCAGTGTGATGACGAGCATAGTCCACCATATGCGCCTCCACACACATTCGTTAACCCTCTCATGTTGCTGTGCATAGCATCATCTCCACGTACAACAGTCCATTACATACAGCTCGATGCAGGCTCATGTTTCGCTCCCGTTGATTCCCGGCACTGCGGGCTCATGTTGCCCGTCGTCCGCCGCATCGCTGCCCCAGACTCGCCGTGCCGGCTCGAGGGCGTCTTCCGGTTGGACGATCCCCGTCCTGATCGGAAGCCAGGTTCACCAGTTGCAACAAGAAACGAGACAATTCCTCCCCAGTCCCAGAAGGCTGCATGTTGAACATGGTGCATAGCGGCATGGCCATTTATTAGTGTAGTTGAATAGCGGCTCTTACAACGCCCTGCTTGCAGGCTTAACCATGTTCCTACTTTAATCGGGCATGTCATTCCCATAAGACACTCTCAGAATCGCGTTGTGCTTCGCTCAATTGTCGGTCAAGGCTCCAGAGTCGGTCGATGAAAGTTGATATGTTCTGATAAACATGGATGCTGATGGAGTGACCTGAGTCCGTGCCTATCAGCATCTTATGGGAATCTACAGCCAACAAGAGACCGGAGCCATCCCACCCCCCTCGCATCTGAGTGGGAAGTTGACATTTGAATGCTTGTAAGGCCGAAGGCGTGGTTTGATACTGGAGAGCGCGATATTAACGCAACGTAAAAACATGATCTGACTACAATCACATCTGGCAGTCTCTACAATTAGCCCGAAACAATCATCATGCGTTGTTGGCCCGTGGGTATCGGTGGGTATCCACGAAGCGACAAATTGATTCATCTCAATGTTTTATCGTTATCGACATGCTATGACAGCCTCCCATTTTCAACTGAGTAACCCTTGTTCACATAATTCAAGATCATAATGCTGTCCACCCGTAACGCCGTATGTAGCAACCCAAGTCCATCGCCAGCTTCCGTCACCCTAGAACCGCTCCTTCATTCGTGCCGCAACCGTTCGGAGGTTGCCGTATACCTTGCCAGGCGGCTTGCCGAGAATCAGGCTCACAACTGACTCCCGAGCAAGGTGGATGTTCTTGAATCCACCCAGGATGTGAATCTTTGAATCAGCAAGCACGATTCGGGTTCTACTGGCGTTCTCTATAGCAAACTTGGTCTTTCCATCCTTTCCAGCAATTCTTCCAATAGCACGGGCCTGGCTGTCGCCGTGCATTGTTCGCACATCCTTAATCTCGAAAGTTTGGATGTAGAGGTCGTCGAGTCGCAGCAGTGCGATGGCATCGTCCACGTCGAACCCGAGAGTAAACGCCTTGACGAAATCTTCTCCTTTTTGCAGTGCCCCAGTGTCAGTGGTATGCTTCGATGATCGCAGCTCGACTGTCTTTCGCTTGATGTTCATTCGACATTGTAGCTTGAGGTGCTCGACCAGAGGAGGGTAGATAGAAGTCCATGACTGTTTCAAAGGTGTCATTCGGTGAGGAGGAATAGGGATCTTGCGAGTTTCCACACGGGTAACTGGGTCCTATCAACGTTATTAGGGTCATTGAAACTCTGCATGATGGTGTGGGAGTCTCACAATATCTCTGGCAGGCGCAAATCGAGGCCGTCCTTCCTCATCGATAGCCATTCCATTCTCGTTGCTCTCCTCCACAGGCACGAGAACATTCGCGTCGGTAGGGAGAGCGTCAGGCGCATCTAAAAGGAACTCCTCATCGTTCTCTGAACCAAAATCAGATTCTGTTTCCACGATTCTCTTGTTTCAGATTTTTCTTCTTTTCATACCTTCAACTGGGAGCGGAACGTCCACAGCGGGCGGGGCATCCTGTGCAGTCTTCAGAGCGGTCGGTGCAGGCATCGTGAATAATGAACGAATGGCTTTGCTTTGCGATAATCTCTTGCAATGGGGTTCTAGGGCTGTTCTCGGGGCAAGTATATTATGTTAAAACTTTGGTCGCAGAAAATTCGTCCAAGTCAAATTCACACACTTCCAAGGGTATCAAAGGTTGGTTCGGTGGGGGGCGTTGGTGACTTTCGAGCAAACTGATCAAAAATTTGTGTGGCTTATCGTAGCTTATCGATTGGTTTTCTGCCTTCAGTAGCCAGGCGCGTCATGGAGTGACTTTTCCAACCAGAACCATGGAAGTGCAGCTTTGGATAGCATTTGCAGTGACGGAATCTGTCGTTCATTAACTCCGACAAACTCCTCCTCCGTAAGAGTAATCTTGCTTTTTTCCTAGAAACTACAACAACAAAGTCCGTTTTTGGCCCCGACTTCGCCCTATTTACGCTCTCGGTGTCGTCTTGTTTTGCAGTTAGGCACCATGATGCTGGAATGATGGCCAAGGGTATCCCCTCTTCTCTGATCGGGCGTTGCTTTGGTATCTGCTTCAATTCTTCTCCAGCAACAGTCTCTTCGGTCACCATACGTCCTCTTGCAGAAATCAGTCGGAAATTGTCATTCTTACCGACAACAATCGTGCTTTCAAACACTCGATTTATTCATTCCCACCAAAAATGTCAGACTTTTGATCCAATCCCAGACAATGGGTTATTGCCTGTCACGCCAGCCTCTTCATTGCGCCATACAATTCAACCTCGAAAATCTGTTTCCGAGCGAATAATTCCTCTTATAACGCATACGTCAACTCGTAAAATATCCCACTGGTCATATTGGTCATCGAAGCCATGGCAACAGCAACGATTGTACAGTGGTGGTGGTGGTGGTAGTGGTAGTGGTCAAAGTAATGGATCAAAATGCTCTTGCGGCAAGGATATCACAGGTGTTTCCCCCACACCAGCTAAAACAACAGAAGATCTGAAAAGGGTCAAGGCTTCGACATTGAACGAAACAAGCAAAGATGCTCTCAGTCAACCCGGGAAACAAGACCCTACAGGGTCGGATTCCGAGCCAGTCTCTTACATGTCCTATCTACACCTGCCGAGAATGCCCCATCGGCCAACCAAAGAGGAACTGCTCGAGGCCGCCAACGGCTTTTGGCAGCGACTCAAGGTTCGTCTAAAATGGGTGTCGATTAGAAGTATGAGACCGTGGAATATTGACGAATGGGGTGCTTTTGTTTCATGGTTTCTTTTCGGCCACCTCGCTTGGATTATCGTCGGAACAACCACATTCTTCTCCCTGATCATTTTGTCAATCAACACTGTTGTTGCTCAAGGTATGGTAGTGTGTTTCGCACGAAGGGTCTACATGCTAACGTACACCAGAAACACTCGCGCAATGGGTAGGTGACTATTTGACGCAGTCTGCTGGCGTTACCGTTGTTTTTGAGTCTGCTATTGTTCCCAAGTGGCGTGATAATGTTATCTCTTTCCGCAACGTTTTTGTGTCCCGACGACCTGGCCAAGGCAACGTCTCATCCGTAAGCAAAGGCTCATCAGATGCTGCCGCCGAGGCTGCTGCTGGCCGCAAAGCAGATGTCGTGGGAACGTCTGAAACTGAGGACGATGGAAACTACACTCAATTTGACGTCACCCTTTCAACAGTCAATGTCACGTTGTCATTCCTGAACTGGTGGAATGGCAAGGGATTGCTGAAAGATGTTGAAATCAAGGGTGTTCGCGGTGTCATTGACCGAACTTCAGTGACATGGCCAGCCGAGGAGGTCGATCCTCTGTCATATCGTCACAAGCACCAGCCAGGAGATTTTGAGATCGAAAAGTTCAAGATGGAGGACCTATTACTCACTGTTCATCAACCGGGCGGGTTCCGGCCATTCTCTATCAGCATCTTCTCTTGCGAGCTGCCCCAGCTTCGCAAGCAGTGGCTATTTTATGATTTCCTTTCAGCCAACCACATGTCAGGGTCTTACGACGGTTCTCTGTTTACGATCCATCCCCGACAAAGCCACGGCGTCGTACCCAGTGGTAACGGCGACCCAGAAGCTTCGGTCGGTTTTGGTGATCCCAAGGCGTGGAAAAAGTTCAGTCGGCTCCGAATTGATGGTTTGAAGATAGATCATCTCAACCGCGGTGTTGAGGGGCCTTTTGGCTGGATATACGAAGGGAATGTTGATATTGTTGCTGATGTCATGTTTCCCGCTGACACCGACGAGAGCATCACCAAGGTCATGGCCGACTTCTACGATCAGCTTGAAGAAATCGTCGACACAAATAGGCATCGCTTCATGCGCAACATCCAAGAGCAAGGCCCTGCTCTTCTTACATCAGGGCACCTTTCAGACTCAGCTGGAGATATCCACGGCGAAGAGCCAGCCGCCGAGCCACAGACAAGTGAGGATGAGCGTCGCTACCTCATCATGGATCTCCGGATCTCCATGAACGATGTCAAAGCTGCAGTCCCTCTCTTCACCAAGGATATGTCATACGTCAATCAGGCACTGGTTCGTCCTATCGTTGCTTATATCAACGCGAAGAAGACATATATACCAATCAATTGCCGTATCGTGAAACGAGCCAGCGACTTCGATGGTAGCTGGTCGATCTTTGACTGTGGTCTAATGAACGATATGTCAGCGGAGACATATGATGCATTTGCGAATGACGTCGAAAACCAACAGAGCCGTGTTCGGCGGTTCAAAAAGGTTGGCTTCTGGACCTTGTCGCTTGCGGTCCATGCCCTCTTTATGGGAATGGCGGGCAATGTGGTGTGAGTTCCCTGCCACGGGCTCCTGCTCTGCTCGAGTATAAACAGAGCATGGTGTTCGAATGACGATACGTGTGCGACTTTGTATATTTTATCGGCGTTGTGTAAGAGCAATGACTCGTGTAAAGGAAAGGCGACAAAGGCGTTAAAGATTGGAAAGTTTGTGATACGGCTGATGGTGACTGGCGTTGGTGGAATTCTATATATGAACGATGAGGACTCGTCCGTGATGTTACTCTACTGCTTGATCGCTTATGGGAGCAACACGATGGGCGTCAGCTGATGAGATATCCTTGCCGTAGTGGCAGCCTTCATCACATGAAATAGCTTAATTGCCTCCGGTATACGAACGAACATGATCTATGAGCTATGCAGACCAGATTCAACAGTGTTCCATTTCTTCCAGTGTATTGCAAAGTGCCATCTAGTTTTTATCTAACGAGTTCTGAAATGAGACACTAATCAACATATGCCTCAGATGCCCATGGCGTCTGATCGTCAAAAGCAATTCCATATACTAAGCCCGTATGAAGAGTATGTTTAAGAGCACGAGATATGCTCTATGAAGCTGGTTCTGCATCGTTCCCATGTATGATCCTTGACGCCCTCTACTCTTCCATGTATTCATCATCTTTTGAGTCTAGGGCACATCCCTCTCCGATCCACCACCCTCTCTCTCTGCTGCCCTTCTTATGTCCGAGCACCCAAGAAGCCTTCATGGCTGTATCTTGAAACCACAAAATGTTTTTTTTTTTTGCGTCAACGGCATGTCTTGAGTCGCCCAGCTCGGCGGACAGTCGACTCGATGGATAGGGGGCAGATAGGTATGAGTTGAAATGGGAAGCTGCGGTTTAGCATCTGGACGAAAGCTACCGTTGCTGTATTGTTTAAAAACGCTTCACATAAAGTCATCACTGGGGAAAAGTCAGTACAGTGTCTCGGCGCCTGTTTCGAGGGGGCACTAACTCTCCAAAATCATCAGCATCCTCATAAGTCGTGGTGTCGGCGGCGTTAGCGCGACCAGTAACCAGCGACGTCTTCGTTTTAGCTGCCTTTGTCTTCTTGCCTCCTTTATCAGCAGCCTTCTCCTCTCGCATCTTCTCGTTGCCCAGAGCAGTCATCGTACTGGCCAGCTTCTTGATCTGTTCGCTGGGCATATCCTTAGCAAGGGCCTTTGTGAAATCCTGGAGAAACAGGCTGTAGTGGGCATTCTTCGAGTTGGCTGAGATGATAGGAGTAAGAGTGGTGCGAAGAGTCTCGAACTGAGCCTTAGTCTTGGGCTGGAAGAGAGGCAGTTTGGAAATGTCGATGGTCTTGGTTGGGTCATTGGAGTCGACGACGACAGTAGCAGGACGGGACTTGGCACGGCCGGCGCTGATACCAATATCTCCAAACATGTCAGCGGCGTGTGCGAGATCGGCTTCCTGTTCGGTACGTCGGAGTCGCTCGCGCTTCTCAGCCTCTGTCTCTTCATATTCCTCAACATTGGCGGCACCGGCTCTCTGTTGGGCACGCTCGGCCTGGTGTTCAGCAATTCGCTGGCCTTTAGGCTTCTTGGCTGCGGCAGCGGCTGCTGCAGCCTTCTGCTTGGCCTCGGCAGCCTTACGCTCCTTCTCACGCTCGGCCTCGGAGTCGTCATCTGCGTCCCATGAATCTAGAACCTGTTGATGGGCAGAAAGGTGTCAGCGATTCGAGGGTCAACGACACCTACCAGGTTTCGGCGCAATACTTACGTCGCCATCGTCCTCTTCGTCGTCAAACTTGCGTCGAGAAGCGGCACCGGTACCGACAACGGGGGAGCCGGAGGAGCTGCTGTCGTCGCTCTCTTCGTCGTCTGAATGAGTTTGTTAGCTATTTATGGTCTTTAAGGGCGTCGCTTGCCGTGCAAGCATCAAACCCAACGACCCCGCAAAAGTCCATTTTGCTTGAGACGTCACAGTGGTCTATGGGTTCCAGACTGCTGTTTGGAAGGTGTTTATACGTACCCCACTTCTTAGGAGGCATGATGTCTGTTCCTGGCAGTATAATACGGTATCGCGTTTGGTGGTTGACAGAGTTGAAGTAGGGTGGATTTCTGGGGTGCGAGGATGTGTGAAGGGTAAGTTTTGTGTGAGTTGTGCGAGTGTGGGTGGGTGTTTGATGCTGCGGTACAAAACGGGTCGAAGACGGATCTTGAAAACAAGGAACAAAGCAAGGGAGCGTAAACGGAAAACACGAAAGGGACCGGATTTAATCCAATATCCTGGTGTTTATATAAGTATGTACGCTACGAGAAACGCTTCTGTCTAACATATACTTTTCACAGATCTATAAAAACTACAGTATTTGCTTTTCAGGCAGAAAGCCTTTACTCCCAACCAGCGTATTTAAAGTGGGATGGAGGGGTTGTCGATCTAAAAGGAGGGGCAATTTTTTAGTGTGAAGGTTTTGGCCGATAAAAAAAAAGAATTGCTACACTCTAAATTCATTTCAACAGGAACAAGTCAGACTTTAGTATAACAATCATATCCCTCCAAATGACGGCATAATCTACGACTAGGTCTCTCTACGCTAGGTATTCTTATTGGTTAGTACTTTTAATATTGTAAACTCTGAAATTACCTACAATCGCACTTACTTCATCCAGTTCTACAGAGGTAGTGAGGAAGAGGGGCTAAGTCCCAGCCCCGAAGCCATGCTATTTTCTCTACAACACTGTAATACCTTTCTCACCTACTATTTCTCGAAACATTAGAGGTATGTGTCACTACCTTGATATCTCTGATGTTATATGCCATCGCGGAGGTGACAATGTCTCGGTGTTCTGTTGTAGTAGACCTTCATCATAACTTACCCGGTACCACTAACAGCCGTTCTGCGTAGCTCTTTTATAGTAATATACTCCATGAGGTTCCTTACCTTTATGCACTATGATTTGCACAGATATCATGCATTTTAAGTATTAAATATCTTATCTAGGCTGAGTAAGGATATAATGATGAGAAACATGGTGTAATCCGCCCCTGGCCACACATTCTTTTGCGTGGTTCGATAATACGGGATATATACATTGGCCTTGGCAACAATAACCAAGTCTCTTACATTTACCTCACAGATTAAATGTGCTCATCGCACATGGATCAGTACACAAGTTCAAACTGAGACATATCAGGTGTTGTACCCTCCACATGATATGTCAAGCTTCATCATTATTAACAAGGGAGAATTTGTCGAGCATCACTGGGACTAGACCACGATGTATCCATGTAAGTCAAAATCTTCGCATCTCCGGGTATACGAGGATTCACACAAGCAGCTGACCACAGGGCCTTTGGTTCACCCAATGGATAACTATCAGCATCCCGAAAATTCCCCCGTGAGTTTGATGACCACTGTATACCTAGTGTTGGTATCGAGAAATCCCGATACCAGCTGCTGGATCCGCATCAGACCGGCGTTTAAAAAATGCCCCTAGATTACCTTAGGTAGTGAGCAAGTTTCCAAAGTAGTCAAAATAATAGGACCGTTTATAGCACGTGCCATCAGCCTCTTGATGTCAGATTGCGAGTGATTCCTAAGCCAGGATTCATGATCTCCGCTGCAAGTGCTGTGTAAGTAGTCAACGCCCGAGTCCTCCCGACGAACCTCACTCACTTGGCGGCGAAACTTTTGAGCCGCTACCAACCTATGACGGATCTTTGTCAGGTTCCCGATTTAGGTCTTCGGGAAGGTCTTTCTAGCGCTTCCACTGACTGTCCCGAATGCTTGGGCCCCTGCGGACATCGTAACTGACAAGGACTTCGGTACGGTTACTCGTCTGAACAGAACTTCAACAGCCTGGCTGGGTTAGACTTTGGCAGTTGGCCCCGGTTATAGTTAGCGGCGGCCACGGTGTGCCGCAGATGCCGCTCACCTTGAGTACTGGTCCCGGTCTGTCTTCGTGCAATTCCCCTTGGTAACGTCTCTTGTCAGCAATCTCACGCCGAATTAGAACGGCGTTTGGACATCTTGCTGATACAGAAACCAGACTTTTCTCGTTCTCAATTGGACCCCTGGGGTATGCTGGGGATGGCGTCTGACACGCAGACAGGCCTCTCTGTAGGCTTATCTTTGGAATATATATAAAGGTTCAGTTGGACCTCCTGAGGCAGAACCTTCATCATACTATCTTCGTACCAAATAATCAACTCGATCAATGACAAGCTGAGGCAGATACTTGCAATAAGTATACCGTATACCAAAGACGCCATAACTCTTGCTCGCCCCAATGTTGTCATTCCAAATTCAGCACAGCCAAGCTTCACGGCAGGCAGCAAAAGCTGCAGCACTTGGTCTTGCTCGAACAATATCTTCTTCTCCGTCTCTGGTGAGAGCACCTATAGCTCTTCGAGCCGGTTGTACCGTTTCCCAGCAACACCGGCTCTTCTCATCGACACCAACGCACCAACTTCGTGACTTCTTTCCGGTCAAAGAGACACCACATATCCAGACGACCAAGCCAGCCTGGCCACACGAAGGCTACACATATGATGAAATGTTGGCGGTCGAACCCGCTCATCGACCTCCCAGGACAGTCGGTGACTATACAGCCTGGAAAATTGTCCGCTTTGCCAGATATTGCATGGACAAGGCTACAGGTATGGATCGTGATCAGAAATCCGACAAGACCAAGCCGACTATAGCCATCGAGGCTCAGAAGCCACTCACCGAGGCTCAATGGGTAAGACTCAACCCACCTGTGAAACATGTCACGAAAGAATAGACTGACAAAGACAAAGCTGATTCGATTCATCTTCCTCGAGAGCGTGGCGGGAGTTCCCGGCATGGTTGGGGGCATGTTGCGCCATCTCGGCAGCCTTCGACGCATGAAACGAGATAATGGCTGGATCGAAACACTCCTCGAGGAGAGCTACAACGAAAGAATGCATCTCTTGACTTTTATGAAGATGTGCGAGCCTGGTTGGTTCATGAAGATGATGATCATCGGTGCTCAGGGAGTCTTCTTCAACAGTCTGTTTGTGTCCTATCTGATCTCGCCCAAGATTGTCCACAGGTTTGTCGGTTACCTTGAAGAAGAGGCTGTTCACACCTATACTCGTTGCATCAAGGAGATCGAAGATGGCAACTTACCCAAGTGGAGTGACCCCAGTTTCCAGATACCCGACATTGCTATCCAGGTGAGTACTTATCGATACTCGTATAACAAAATATTCAATATTGATACTTCTCTAGTACTGGAAGATGCCAAAAGAACACCGTACGATGAAGGACTTGATCCTCTACATCAGGGCTGACGAGGCCACTCACCGAGGAGTAAACCACACACTTGGTAACCTCAACCAAACGGAGGACCCCAACCCATTCGTCAGCGAATATAAAGATCGTGAGCCACCCAAGCCCGCACTGAAGCCCACCGGCTACGACCGCGTCGAAGTCATCTAGGGTTGTCACAAAGCGATCACCAACATTAGCCGAACAAAGCCTCGTGGCATCAGACGAGCTCGTACGGATTATCTTGTCTCATTTACTCGACATTACCGGAAATTCTTGGATCGAGCATTGTAGTTCTTGCTTATTTGCACATGATACCACTGGGAAACAGGAGTTCAACTTTGGAAGGAATTTGCCTGGTCAATTAAACACAAATCTGCATTTGATGGCGTTATGTTATGGAATCCCTACTCTTGATGATCTTGGAAGCATTGTTTTAGTCAGATAAAAGAAGAAGAAGAAACCATATTCCAGTGGTAAGACGGTTCGATTAATTCAACCACAAACCCTCTAGTGCATGTGAAGTTCGTGCCGCCAGAATGGTCTCGAAAACAATGCTTACTCACAAACGGCATACACATACAATCATGACTCAGTGAGCAACCTTTATTTAGTAGTAGGGACCTGGCAATACGTAAGAACAACCTAAAGAATAACCACATCACTTTCAGGAACTGTCACCTCAATTTCGCATGTCGAGCTTCCTGCCTTTTCGGGCAAGGTGGGAACCACCTCAGTTCGCGTTGACCTATTTTAGTGCAAGGTAAGTTGCCTTAGGTAGTTAATAAGCTTCTTTTTCTCCGGTCCGGACCGCGTCAGCAAAAAAGTCGAAATCTGCCTTGCGAGGATCCTCAAACGCAAAGGAAGAGTCGGCTGTCACCGAGCAAGGCAGGGGTCTGCGTGATAAGCTGAAACTGATGTCACGACTGTATCAATGCTTACCGACTTGCTCCCGTCAGCACGCAAACCATCCTCTACCTCTGACGCGAGGAGAAAGAGAGCACAGCCTTGGATTGTGGGGTCGGATCGTGGGCCGCGTGTAAGGCTGGGGGCGGTGTAAGTGGGATATACGCATTCTGTCATGGCACGAATGTGTCTTGGACAGTATTTGCACGAATGAGGTGGTAAATCATCAAGTGAAGCATGTATTCATATAAACAACGCGACTTCATTGTGTTGGTCTCTTCTCTACCCGGTTACGTTTGCCAACGTGTAGATTTAGAGGTCCGAGTAATATTCTGTGTGGCCGAGTTTCCCTCAGGTACATGGAGGCACGCTAGAAGCATCACTTCTTCGAGAGGCAGTGCAGAACTTGCATGGTGGATGACGATCCAGGGACAGGTCAGAGGATGGGCTATTAAAAGCTCGTGCGATCGAGCTATGTGCTCTTTGCGGCTAGCAGAATATTGTCAAAGGGCCATCAAATTATGTATGAGCATTCCCCTGGAATGCTTAAACCGACAAGTCTACGAGGAAGACGCCGTTTACACTCATAAACCTATGCCTGCAGCGCAACGAATGATATAAAACAGAATAGGGCTGAAATGTGACTGTCACTAATATCCGGTACGCCCTTGTTATCGAATCAGCAAATTGCGAGCAAGTATTGAAAGAGAAATCTCCGCAATCACCTCGTCGTTCATGTCACTTTCTCTCATAGGCAGACTTCTGTTGCTTTAGTAGGTAAGGTACCTACTATAGAAGCACAAGTACCACTAACCTAGGCAGTAGGCAGTTTGAATATTGAGGAATGAGCGAAAGATGTGCAAGGCTCACTAATAAATCCGGCGGTCTTCTCTAGCGAAAACTCTACTGATATCCATGATGGGAAACACAAAGAGCCTTGGAGTGGTCTAGGTTAGTAGGAAGGACAGCAGCTTGTTGGCATGAAAACACGGAAATGACATGCCAATTTACTCCGTACTGAACGAGATTTGCGACCAAAAACCAGAGTAGTCCTAGAATCCCAGATAACACTTCAATTTTGCACACGTAAAAGTGCCACTGCTTGACGTGGTAAGTTGGATATCAAGATGCGAACCTAGTGCTGATGCTTATTTACCGAGAACCGCCAATCCAGATGAACGGGACACCTCGATACTTATTAATTAATTCAATGAAGGCCCAATGAACTCGCGATGATTAAGATTTTTTTTTTTTTTAAAGAAAAGAAAAAAGAAAAAGAAAACACATATATCTACCTAAATAAATACGTTACAGTGCACAGGATAGCCCAAGTTGTTAAAAGAAACTGATAAGGTCGTTTTGATGTTATCTCATACTTAATTAACCCGCATTGAGTTCATTTCCTGCCTTCTCCCCTTTGCATCTCTTGAAACTCTTCTCATCCCAATAAATAATTAACACAACACTGTTAATACCGACTGCCCCATGTTGATTTAGCGATATCACGATTGTCATCAACCTGGAGAGCGAGTCTGCCTCGCTTGGAACAGGTCAAACGATCCCAAATACTGTTAAAATTAGCAAACCTCGGTACTCTGTACTTGTCAACATAAAACCACCTACCTCCCTTGCCTAAGGTATCATCCATACCCAAGGTACAGTAGTACTTACCTTACGCAAACAGCTGTACCTGACCTCATGCCCAGGGAGGGCACGCTAGCTCTAGTTCCCATTCGTTCGACGTGTCTCTGCACAGCCCTCCGCACCATTCTGGGCCCAACATAAACGTATCCCACGGGGAGGGAGAATCTTGTGCGTTTACCTAGAGGCCTGTGCTGTACATCAGATCTGACGCACCAAATCCCGTTCCGTGTGGTCGGCCTTTTAATTGGTATTCTGGATGAAAAGGGACCACCCAGATACAAAGAGTACTTACTTACTCCCTTACAACTAAAACTACGGACCAGCGCTAGCCGCCCGGCTTTCGCCCTCTCTCTCTCTTCTCGTCCCAATAGAAGCTACCCAGAGCGGAATCTTCCAAAGTAATATAAATTGTCAGAGTCCTGGCCCCTAGACCAGGTATAGCTCCTATGTACCAACCTTATTAATTTTAACGCCGTCATTGCTTGCTTTTATTCCTGCCGTTGTGCTGTGGTACGGATTACAGGACAATACCCGCCCGCCGCACCACAACCCACCCACCGCAACCCAAGCAACTCACCTCCACCATCATCTTCGTCTGCGCATCCAACCGACTACAGCAGCGTTCCCCATCCTCAATATCACACACAAAACAATACCGATTTTCTACACGTCGCATTCATCTACTTCAAACTACACCGTTCCCGCTCAAACTGCGCGTTTCGCAACCCCTTCCACGCGTCGGCCGCCGTGATAGGATAGTCCCCCGCCCATTGCATCACCTTGAAAGCGCACAGCCCCCGGCATCGCCACGGTGCCTGAAGGCTGACTCCAGAGTCTGCCTTGTCTACACTATTCTACAGTACTTCTTCTGCTTCTAAACTCGGAAACATCATGGATCAGCAAGCTCAACGAGGCCGGTCGCCTTCGACTGGCCATCAACAGCCTCATATAAACCATTCTCATTCCCCGTCGCCGGCGCCCTATCAGCATAACGATCCATCCGTTGGTCTTGGTCTCTCTCTCGACCAGTCCGCTCAGCAATCTTACGAGGCCTTCAACAGTTCAGGTTTTCTTAGCCCTCAGCAATCGCCTTCTTTCCTTCCTCCTGCGCATCAACAGAGCAACTCCTTCGCTCAAGCCAACTTGTCCGACCCCGCTATTCTCGACCCCAATAACACCACCTCATTCGGACAGCAGCCTGCCAGCTCCGACACTTCGCTACCCTTCAATAACCAGGCTCAGGCAGCTTACCTGTCGCCGAACCTTAACGATAACGACTTCTCTCTCTTTCCGAATACTAGTGGCCAGGGCGACCAGTTCAACGCCCCCTTGTTTGACCAGCCTACGCTCAATCCTAACGACATGAATACCATGGCGTCGCAAGGGCATCACTCGCCGACCCCTCCTCACCTATTCCAGCACGATGCTCAACAACCTGGTTCTGCTCACCAGTCGCCCGCCTTCAACCAGCACCAGTTCTCTTCACCACCTAACCATTCGCGACATACTTCACTCGGCCCAGCAGATGCTTTGCTCCCAAACCAGATAGCTGATTGGAATCAGCCTCAATTCCAGCGCCACCGTCGCACGCCTTCTGAGTACTCAGACGTTTCGTCCGTGGCTCCGTCACCGAACCTTGTTAGTGCTGAGTCCTTTGAGACTGATATCGGTGGGCACTCGCCCGCGCATCATCCTTCTGATGGCAGTCTATATCAAGAGGTTTTGAGTATGGGTAACTTTAGTCTCTCCGACCCTCAAGTCGGTGGTAGTCCTGGACACCAGGGTCGTAGTCCTTCCCATAGTCCCGCAATCAGCCCTCGCATTGTTCCTCAGCAGATGCCGGACCTGAACCAGCTGAATCAAAACAGTTTTGGTTTGGCAGGTCCTCACAACCCATATGGCGTTCCCTCTACCTATCCTGACGTTTCAGCGCCCGTCGAGGCCTTCCCTTCCCTCCAGCCTTCGGGCGCTGATTTGTCGTCGATGGCCCCTCCAGCGATCAATATTGACTTTGCGCCTACAAATGCTAAACAAGGTGCTTTTGATACTCCCAAATCTCGTATGGATCAGGACTCTCTGACCCCGCCAGACAGAGGTATGTTTGAAGCCGAAGCCATTGCTTTTGAAACTAGCTCACACATCTTAGGTCGCCCCCGATCCCGTCCACGTGCAGTGACAGACCCTTTCCATCCTGGTGGCGGTCTGCTAGGTCGCCAAGGAAATGCCAACATCATCTCGCCTTCCCTAGGCGCCGACTTAGCAGCAAGAACAGACTCCAGATCTCTGTCTCCTCTGGACAGACAAGGAGGGACTTCACCTTCCAGGAGAAGACAGTCCACATCGGCTGTCCCCAACAACGTTATCGCTCTCAGACTGGCCGATCCTGAGTACCAGAACAACCAGGACAGCGGGGCTGCCAAGCGGGTTCAGAAACACCCTGCCACTTTCCAGTGCACATTGTGTCCCAAACGATTTACGCGTGCGTACAACTTGCGTTCACATCTGAGAACGCACACAGACGAGCGTCCTTTTGTGTGTACAGTATGCGGAAAGGCATTTGCTAGACAACATGATCGCAAGCGACACGAGAGTCTTCACTCCGGAGAAAAGAAGTTTGTATGTAAAGGCGATCTCAAGGTTGGAGGTCAATGGGGATGTGGTAGAAGATTTGCCCGTGCCGATGCTCTAGGCCGGCATTTTAGGTCTGAAGCTGGCCGCATCTGCATCAAGCCTCTATTAGACGAAGAAATGATGGAACGACAGCGACTCTGGCAACAGCAACGGATGCAGCAGAACATGGCGCAGAGCATGGCTGTTGCATCCACTATGCCAATGGATGGCCCTATGTATCCTATGGATCCGACTGGCAACCCAATGCTTCCAGCGGCTCTCTTGGCCCAATATCCTGCATTAGCTCAGTTGAACTGGTCTACACCTGACGTGAATGCTGGCATGGACGATGAGGTTAGTGGCCGCTCATCGTTTGATGCCAGCGACTACGACGAAAACGAAGACGGTGGGTATGTGAGTGGCCCTGGCACGGGGTTTGGTGAGGGTGGGATGGGTCAAGGCTTTGGTGAAATGGGATACGCGAGCGACTTCGGGGGCCGGTAAAATGGGATCACTCGCCATAAGAGCATGCAAACATTGTTGACGCGACCAATGCATTTTCCCCAGTTAACGGCGTTCTTCATCTTGCGCCTTACTTCTTTCTCTATCCCTCGGGGAATTTCTGTTTTCTACTTTACAGCCGTCTTTTGGACATGCTAGATGCGACGTGGTTACTGCATCACAACGGTTATACATACAATTGGATCCGGCGTGATTTTATCATTTCTTTCCTATGTTTTTGGGGAGCGCTTGGGTATAGACGGTGCGCGCATAGATACCAAATCTAGTCTGTTCTGTTCATTCAATATGACGTGTTTTATCTCTTATTTCTCATCCAGTTTGATTAGATTTCATAGGCAGATAAAGCTTGCTTTTGGATCTCGGTCTGGATATGGCTTATACATCCTGGCAATTACATATGACCATACAATATCAACAAGTATAGTAAAGATTCTGATTGCTTGAAAACATAAATGGTACTTGACCATCTAAGCAGGCAGTATGGATAATATCGACGTCTAGGTACACCACACATTGACTGACCCCCTTTGTTACTTTTGGCCAGCCCTGACTTATGGAAGCCCTCCCTTCCTTGGATATCTGGCAGTAGTTATAGTAAGAGATTATAAAATACCAAGTCAAACCCACAAATGACAATACCAACGCCTTGCAAAAACACCGCAATGACTTTCCTTCTCCCACTTTTGGAACACATCCATGCGTTGGATGACCACTTTGTTTCTTGAATTAGAGTCATAGCCGGATTGCATATACACATATGATCAATACATCGGCGAGGTTCCAAAGTAATCCTTAAATGTCTTCGCCATGAAATTCTCACAAATTTCACGATGTACAGCCACACAGGACTCGGTAATGAATGGCATCAGGAGAGAATTGCACTCGAGGAGAACCTGCTCGTGTAGCTCGAATTCGTCCCCTTCAGCAGTCGCCGTGCTACCTGAGGCGGTGCTATCAGATCCCGCGGGTGATATCGGACCCGAGGGCGATCGCCCGTGCTGTTGTTGGCGCACCGTCCACTGGGCTCGAACGACGACGCCCACAGGTGCTTTCGCACGAGAGCGAAGGCCATCAGGTATTACCTGAAATATGGCCTTGTAAGAAATGGTTTTGCCAAGGCCAGGAGCGAGATTGACGAGCTCTTGCATCTGAAAAGCGCGAAAGGAGTCATCGAATGCTCCAAAGAAAGGGTCGTCAGCTGTGTCTGCCGGATCAGCTTCGACTTCTTCCAAGCTCGTCACTGTCCGGTGGTGGGCGACAAATGGGTCCACGGCTTGCAGAGCTGCTACCACGGCGCTGGGAGGAAGAGTGCCCGGTATGGGTACAGAGATCGAGAGAAGTTGTGTCGAGCGCATTTTATGTAAATTTGGAGGGCTTCTGGCGATATAGATGGGTGTGAAGAAGATGAATAAGAGGGTGCACAGAGAGAGAGAGAGAGAGAGAGAGAGAGAGAGAGAGTAGTTGATCGTGGTTGTCTTGTTAGACGACACTTGGCCAACACTGGCGACTAGAGTCTGCGCAAGTTGGTAATCTTGAAGGCAATGATATCGAGATGTTTATCCTTGTAAGACTGACCAAGGCGTACATGGTGATTGTCAATGGTGGCTGACGATTATTATCTCATTCGAGATAGCTGAAGAGTAAATCAAGGCGGACTGATAGCGACAGCAGCGAAAGAAGACACAGCCATAGAAAGAAAAGGGCGTTCTTCGCAAAGGCCAAATCAACTTATCCACTGCAACATGCAAGACCAGGGCGTGTTAGTCGACGACAAGATTGTGATACCCAAAGGACAAAAAGATGCTCGACAAGAACAGCGGAGAATAAGTCAAAGCCTGCGCCTCACAGAGACTGCTTCATGTCCTCTCTTGGCTCTTTGTTCACATGAAAGGGAGATTCAATCCGAAGACAAGCGGAGCAGAGCGGATATGAGAGGTATGGAAGGATGGCATGCACTGCGCTTCCATGCAGAGCGGGAGTTGAGAAGCGAATAGGCGCCCGCGCGTATCGGAACAGGAGCAGTCAGTTTTGAAGTCTGACAGCCCTTGCACCTCGCTGTCTTCTACTTTTCTCCTAGGTTTTGGTGGAAGCGACACCAGGGGGACAAGAGAAGAGAAAAATGTGATATTGCGTTGTGTTGCGTTGAGTGAGTTGGGCAAAGTTACGTTCGAGGTGAGGTGAGGTGAATTGAGTTGAGGCTAAACCAAATGATGGCTGAAGAGTTAAAAATATACCGTACCTGCACAGTGAGTAATACCTACCTCTACCTAACCCAAGGTATGTATAGTACCTAGGTAGTGCTTGAGGCGGGGGCAGATGGTGGCTAAGGGGCCCTTGTTACAGTGAATGTAAGGAGTCTAGGAAGAGTGAACACGGAGCAAAGAGGGGAGAGACAGGTAGATGGAAAGAGTGAAACGAAGGATCAGGTCGAGTGAAGATTGTTAGTAATGACTTGCAGTGCGAATGTAAAAGGGAGTAACTAAGGTACTAAGGTAGCTCCGATCACCTTAGGTTAATTAATTACTTTGTAACTGCATACTTTTAAATCCCGAGTGTCCCGTTGATGATAGGCGACTGAACTGCCGCTTTGACATGTGTGAAGTGCTGTGTGATATCTCCAGACCCAACTAATGTACGAAGAAATGTCTGATTAACCATACATAGTAGTTTAGTACTACCTACCTCACCTTAGTAGGTAGCAGCTAATTAACTTAAGGTTGGTAAACCCACATCCACCTCGGCACCGCAAGTGACAGACACTCTTCTCCCTGGGTATTTGGAATTTTCACCTTTGCTCCTCGAGGTCAACTCCAGATTATCCTCATGTTGAGGCGATTGTTCGGCTGCTTTTCTTCCGCGATCCACCAGCCACCTGCCAGAACGAGAGAGGCTCCCCCGAAGAGGAGCACCCTAGACGAACTGATGGGCATGGCGATATCCTTAAACTGGACGGGCGAGGCCCAAGATTAGATGCTGCGTTGCGTTGCAGCCAATTCCCGAAGCACGGACGACGGCTGACTTGCCGAAGACGAACGAACCATAATGGATCTCGCCCTGTCAATCTTTGGTCTAGAAAATCATGTGCCACAATCCAGACCGAAACCATCAACGGCCGGCATCAATTCATCATTCCGAGCCCGACACCAAGTCCTACTCACGGCCCGATCCGGCAGTTGGCCGACCGTACAGCATATACATATTGCACTGTGGAATTTGTCTGTCACCTTGAGACTGCGTTATTTGCAGGTGTCAACCTTGATATGCTCATGTTTTAGCTTAGTGCCTTGAGTTTCCACCAGAAGCCCAAAGGTAGTCTAGGTGAATTGTATGAGGGCTTCCTGCACCTGTGTCGGCGCGGGAGATAGAACGATGGAATTGCGGCCCGTCTTGCAGCTCAGGTCTAAGAATAAACTCGCATTGTCACCGGCACTGGGCATTGCTAGGCAGTCTAGGCAGTCTAGGTAGGCTGTGAGAACTGTACAGTAAGCCGCCAAGTTCAAGACAATTCCCTGGGTTGGGTTAGGTTAAGCCGAGACCCTGTGTTACCTTTCTTGGCTTGGGCAACTTGCCTGCAGCTATCGTAGTCAGGAACCGAGTGTTTTATGAATATCATCACACTCACATGGTAGCATCAATTAGTGAATGCACAGCATCGCATCGTCTCTAGCTGCAACCGATTGATGCTGGGATGGTCCCGTTTGAGGTAGCAACTCATGGCTCACTCGCTAACGCCAGCACTTAATTATCGCCAATCCCAGCCCAGTAGAGATTTCGTCTGGACAACTCGAGCAATATCAGAACGATGGAGCTAGTGTCCATCTTGCCTGCACCGAGATTCTCAGTTCCTAACTTCCTCAGTCGTACATATTTGCCGACTCATTCTTGTTTCTCCCTTGACAATCGCAGCAACTATCAGGTCTGACCGCTTAAAAGGCGTCAGGCAGGAGGGCAAACACTTCTTCTTGTTTCGCTGGTTTCTGTGCGGAGACATCCATCCTTGGAAATGTACTGATACGTCAACAGATGTTGCATGAAAACAGCCCCATCAACTCAGTTCGACTGCCCAGGTCCACTGTCCATATTCATCGTCCACATCTAAGACGGCCACGTCGTTATTATCGTCGTCGATCCCAGCTCATATGGACCAGGCGGCATTAGAAATGCGGGCTTTTTTAACAAAATTTGGACAACACGGCGTAGGTACATGAGTTGGAGGCGGTGAAGGTTTGGCGATACCTATTCGAGCCAAGCTTTAGTCTAGGATGAATGCACAAGGCTAACGTCTTGCAGGAAGCGCAGGGACTCTGCAGCATCCTGTGGCGTTTGTGGATTTTGTCGAGTCGTCCCAAGACCCCAACCCGCAGATAGTTCCATGTATGTAGTACTGGAGTCTGTATCTGTGCTGCATGTATCATATCAAAGCAGGACCCCAGTCGCTGGATGCGTTCGTGTGTGACTGTTTAGTGACGGGTGACTGGGAAAAGCTGTAGAAAATACCTCAAGGCAAGCCGTCGAAGCGACTACTGGACCTTGTAGCTAATACGGGCATTGCCTTTTATAATCAAGTTGCCAGCGTCTTCTCAACCTAGCCCCCTCGGGCCTTTCCATACCCGCTCCCCCAATTCATTCGAATTAGTGCAAAGCGAGGACAGCCTGGTGATCTTCAGAAGTTCAGAAGTGTTGGCTGATTAGCGGTCGTCGAGTGAACCAAAAGTAATAGTGAGTCCCACAAAACTTGCCCAATGTTAAGCACAATGAACCTGGAAGACGCGGGGAACGGGAAGGGAACGGGACGTCAACCACAGTCTCAAGGAGCTGAGAGCCTCTGGAGGGAAAGGCGTGTGTGTATGCACTATGAACTTCACGGGATTGGCCTCATTCTGCATTCCCAAGAGAATTGTCAAAGGAACTCAGGTTTGTGCTGGTGAGACATATCGCGTGCCCCTCGAAGTAACGAGAAATGTCACACATGTCTCAACATGTATCTCCATATTGGCCCCCAGTGGAACAACCGAGCCCGCGTGATGTCACAAAGATCGAACGACAAAACCATCGCCGTCCCATGAGCTGCGCTGTACGGTGTACCACCATCTGGTAAATAGTCCAGGTGGATTGAATGTCTTTGGAGTAGCACATTGCAGCACATGAGCAATCCTCTTCTTCTATGGGATCAATCAGTCTTGCTTGGAAAGCCAATTAGAGAGCCAACTACAGTTTTCTTGTGAGAGTCTTATAACTGACGACAAGATGGAGGTCAGAGCCTAGTCGCCAGATGCATCCAATCCAATGTTGGGCACACGTATGTATGTACAATGTGCACCGTAATAAGGGATGGGTTTCAGGCATTGCAACCCTTCTTTTCAAATTTCCTGCTTCTCTCATTAGTGGAATGCACATGTGAGATTCGGGTGGCTGGGTCGATGAGAAGCTGGCAAGTCATTGGGCTTGGCCAACATGTACCTCAAAGGATCTGATCCAACCACGCGTTGTGCTGCGACCTGACCATGCAGACCTGCATCAGCATCAACGGACTCATCTGTGGTTGGTAGACCTGGATCGAGTAGATCGTACGTGCATGTGCAATAACACGACGACAGATGATGTTGACCTATGATGGCGGTAGAGGCTGTCGTTTTGGATGAATGCGCGGGTTGACGTGCTTGATATGAGAATAGATTAGGATTGAGTCGAGTCTGGAAAATGTTTTGCTTTCAAGTGATACGGGCACTGAAGGGAGCGATGCGAGGGTGTGTTGGGCTTGAGAATGAGGGTGCAGGTTGTTATGGGGTTGCTGGTCTGGTGATTGTGATGGTGACGTGCGGCCAACAATATTGATAGGGGTAGTAAGGAGTAGCTTCGCACGTAGGTAGGTACCTATAGGCTGTGAGTGAAGGTCCTCTTCAGAGATAAAAAGCATCTCAGTGTTTTGATGTAGATGCAGTATGCTGAATACCTAAATATGTATCGGATACCTTAGTTAGTACCTAGGTAGCGAGTATATGTACGGATACCGCTGTGTGAGCTGAGAAGAACCGGGATCTGTCTCTTAGCTCATCGCATCTGGATAACGAATACTATCAATGTTCTCATTATCCTCAAATTCCTTCTAGGTCCCGCAACCTACCTACCTTACCTTAGTACCTACGCATGGTGGCGGCGTGTTGCGTATGTATGTACTTTCGAGTTAGATCCATAGTACTGGTAGGTAAGGTAGGGTAGGTAGCGAAAAGAACCTGCAGGGCACGTCCCCTGCTTTGAGCACTAGAGCACCTACAGAGCCTTAATTATCAACGTCTCTTGCTGTCACTGTCGCGTTGATTTCCCTGTCCTGTTCCCGCGTTTGCCCGCCTTTCCGCCTGGCTGCACATCAACTTTGGACACTGAACCCTGTCCTTTGCATTGATTCTACCCATTAAACAATAGCCTTGACAAGTACAACATCTGAGCAATTCGCCTGCCGACGATCTGAACAGCCAGGACTGGCGTCATTGGCTCTTATTAGCTCAACCAATTTGTCTTGGCCTGAAGCGCCCAAAAGTATTGTATGGGACCTTTTACCGATTCGACCTTTCCTTCTTCCCTTGCTTCTCTTGCCATGCACTCTCTGCAAATCATTTGCTCCTCGTCACCGTGAATTCTTCCCCCTCCTCTTCCTCAATCTCCCTCCTTTTACATCAAATCCTTTTCTACCAACCTTAGCTAAGGTATCTTGAGGAGACCCTACTCGTTATTTGGTCTTGCCTCGAGTGGTCGAGCATCATTTTCTTGCTTCCAAGCTCATTTATTTACACAGCGCGCAACGGAAGACCCCCGAACAAAGTAGTCCAGGCCAGACGACGATCCGACGACTAGGGGTGGCTGGTAAAAAGTGACAGTTGGCCGCCCAGGGTTTGTTTTGTCAATTAACTCGGCAGTCACTCAGTACGCTTTCAAGTTCCTTCGCCTTGACAACGCCTCAATTTTGTTTTCTTCGACGATCCGATTCTTTTCTCCCATCACTAGCGCAGCATCATTTAAGCATTACCTACCTATCCTCGACCCTGACAATACATCCGGCTTTGTCACGGCGTCGCTTTCGACAGCCTCGAACAAGGCCAGGCCCCGCAACTCTGCTGGTTGATATTGCAATCGACTACGACTTACACGAAAACTTGTACGAAACTACGACTTTACTCGGTCACGAACTTGACATCCCACACTGTCCTTTGTTCTGGCGACTTGGCTCAGTTGTCGATACCTCGTCGCCCTTCCATCCTTGTTCATACTTATAGCTTCCATGTGTGTGACGTCGCTCAGTCTTCGCACGAGCTCCATTCTTCACAATGGCCGCGGTCGATGTTCTGGCATTCACAGACGAATGGACAAGAAGCGCGCATGTCCTACCGGGCTTTCAGTGTTTGTCAAGTGCGCCGGTTGATCGCTCCTTGCGTCACCGACTGAGTCTCATTGCCCGTGCCTGGGTTGATCACAGTATACATAAAAATGTATGTTCGTTCCATTTTCTGCCCAGCTTGCGTAGTTACAATTTAAATATTGTCGCTTTTTTGCTTGAATCATGTTTCCCAGCAAAAGCTTAACAGACTTTAAATGGGTGGCGCTCAACGGCCAACCCCTCGATCAGCGGCCCGGACTCTCCTGAGGGGAACCCACCGCCACCCATTCCTGTCTTGTCATGCGATCCAATTCCGGAATTGGAACACGTTTGAAAGTCTGTCTTGTCTAACGTCATACAATTTATCCAGGTCTCTTCTTCACCATCACATCGCAAAGTGGCCGACAGGCCGCTAATTATACCAGATCATTCTCCACGATGGTATTGTCGCCTCCCTCGATCTTGCGACTCTTCTGATCCTACCGACACCACAATGCCCCTGAATGAGACCAGCCGTTATGCCCGTATGCGAACCCCAGCATGGCTCAATCCATCCCCTCAACCACCATCAGATGCCCAGAAAGAACGCCGCCGACCGAATAATGCGCTTATCAACGATCCTAATTCCGATATCCTTGTCGACTTGAACTCGCAGCAAGGTTTCTACGAAGCGGCAAAGAAGAAGAAAACAAAAACGCCTTCTGCTCCTCCACCGCCGCCGCCGCCTCCTGCGGCTCCACCAGCAGACGATGGTCAAAAGGATGACAATACTGGAGGAGATGGAGGAGCCAGTGGAGGAGACGCTGCAGGCGGCGCCGGTGACGGAAATGGCGATGGCAATAGCAACTCGCCCCCGAAGCCTCCCACAACCTTCGAGAATATTAACCTCGGAGAGAACAAATTAGATCTTGGTTTGAGCCCACCAGAATCCAAAGGCATTTCTAGTTCATGGGGCGCGAAATTGGGCTTTGGAGGAGGAGGATGGGGCTGGGGCGTAGGAGGGAAAAGCGAAACGTCACAGGCACCAGCACCAGCACCAGCACCGGCACCGCCGCCACCACAAGAAAACAAGGCTGAAGAGAACCCCTGGGACAAACCTAAAGATAGAATAGGAGGAATTGAAGAAGATGACGATGGTTGGGGCTTTGGTGCCAAGAAGGAGAAGAAGAAGGGTTCCACGCTCTGGGGCGCTGAACCTGACGAGGGACCAAAAGATGGTGATGATCCTTGGGGTTGGAGTGGTCAAAAAAAGAAGGGCAAAGCTGGTGGCATTCTGGAAGAACTTGCCCTCGATTCCGATACTGCACCTCCGAACGGAAAGAAGGATATTTGGGATACTTGGGGAATATCCAAAAAAGATCGGGCCAAGAAGAAGGGTATCATGGAGGAAGTTGCGTTGGCAGCTGCACCTGAACCCCCTTCAATGGAAGATCAGTGGGGTGGCTGGTCCGGGAAAAAGGAGCATTCACAAAGTTCACTTTGGGGAGCTCAAGATTCAATACCCGCGCCTGCACCTGATCCCCCTTCATTTGAAGACAAGGACGGTGACGACTTTTGGAGTACTTTTGGCACTGGAAAGGCAAAACCTCCGGCAGAGGAGACGAGTGGATGGGGATCATGGGGTGTGGGACAGAAAGGTGAGGATGAAACAAGTGAGTCAAATTTCTTTAAAGCTCATCAAATCCCAGAGCCGCCTAATAAAGAAGACGACGGTTGGGATCTATGGGGAACAGGTAAGAAAAAGAAGAAAGCTGGCGACTTGATTCAAATAGAGGATGATATCCCTCCTCCCGCCCCCGATCCCGTCGAGGCTGTTGGCACCGACGACCTCCTCGATTCTTGGGGTTTTGGCAAGAAGCCCAAGAAACCGGCCGCTGACCCGTTCGATTTTAAAACTTCCGGCGCCGATGATCCTAACGATGCTTTTTGGGGTTCAATAGACAACAAGAAGCCTAATGCACATGAGTTTCTTATCGATGCTACTGGTGAGCCATATCATGTTGTTTTTGAGGAAGGGTTGAGACGCAAGGCTCGAGATGATGTTATATGGAAAAGTCAACTGGGGTTGGACTTCATTCCTCGGGGTGGAGAAGTTAGAGAACATCGAGAACTCGCCTTGTCTGACTGCCTTCCCCCAATATCAACCCCCACACCTGTAGAACTAGCTGAACGGATGGATTTATAGGAGACCCAGAGCAAGCCGCCAGAGAAGCTGAAGAGCAAGCCGCTCGCGAAGCTGAGGAAGCCGAGGCCGCTCGTGAAGACGAAGAGATTGCCTGTCTCTTGGACAAGAAATCTAAAAGAGGAGGTCGGCTTCTTAAGACAGATCGAGAACGTCTTGTTCTTCTCGAAGGGAATGCCACACGAAGAGCCGAGGCTCGAGCTACTCGCGAGGCCGAGATCGAAGCTGCTAATGAAGCTGCACAAGCCGCCGCTGACGCTCAAGCAGCAGCTGACGCCGAAGCTGTCGCTTTACAGGCCGCGGAAGACGCTGAAGCCGCAAAGGAGAACGAGGAGCTTGCGACACTATTAGCGAAGAAGCAGAAGCGCAACGGGAAGTTGCTAAAAAAGGATCAAGAACGCCTTACTCTGCTCGAAGGGAATATCTCAAGGAGGGCCGAAGCTCAAGCAGCCCGGGAAGCCGAAGCCATTGCTGCTGCTCCAGTTGCCCCGGCGGCACCTCCTAGTGAACTCCTTTCTCAAGAGACAGAGCGGGATGGCCTTGCTACGGAAGCAGCTGTAGAAGCTGACACTGCACTTGCCGCCGAAATTGCGCAGGAAGAGGCGGAAATAGAGAACCTGCAGTCGAAGAAGGCGAAGAAAGGAAAACTTCTCAAAAAAGAGCAGGAACGGCTGAATCTCTTGATCGACAATGCGGCGAAACGAGCTGAGGAACAAGCAGCGAAAGAAGCAGAAGAGCAGGCGGCAGCGACAGCGGCAGCAGCTGAAGCCGAAGCCGAAGCCGCTGCCCAAGCTGCCGCAGACGCCGAGGCTGCAGTTCAAGCCGCTGCAGATGCTGAAGCTGAGGTAGCTGCTAAGGAAGAGGAGGAAATGGCAGCGCTGAAAGCCAAGAAAGCCAAGAAGGTCAAGCTAACAAAGAACGAAACAACTCGACTAATGGCCTTGGTTGGCAACTCAGTAAAGCGAGCTCAGGAAAAGTCTGTCAAAGAGGCTGAGGAAGCAGCCGCGGCGCAGGCTGCTAAGGAAGCCGAGGAGTCTGCAGCCCGTGAAGCAGATGCGCTGGCAGCCCGTGAGGCTGAAGCGACCGATGCCCGTGAAGCGGAGGCTGCAGCTGCTGCCGAAGAAGAGAAGGAACTTGCAGATCTTACCGCTAAGAAGATCAAGCGTGGCGGTAATCTGATTAAGAAGAAGGATGTGGAGCGTTTTGATGTCCTTACTCAACGGGCTGCCGAACGAGCCGAACGAGCCGCTAAGCAAGCTGAAGCGATTGGTGCTATTGAAGCTCAAGGGGAGCTTGCAGAAGCCACCCACGGAAATGCAGAGGTGGTGGCCGAAGCTCAAACCGAGCCAGAGCCTGAGCAACCGCTTGTAGACATAGACACAACATCTACTGATCCTGATCCTGTTACAGGTCCTGACACAGCTATTATCGCAGAGGAAGAAGCAGAGTTAGCCGGTCTAGACGCAAAGAAGATAAGGAAAGGCAAGCTTGGCAAAAAGGATACAGAGCGGTATAATATCCTCACAGAAAATGCTGCGCAACGACTAGCTGCAAAAGAAGCAGAAGAAGCGGCAGCCGCTGCCGTGGCTGAGGCCGAGGCTGTAAAAGAGGCCGAGGAAGCTGCAGCCGCAGCAGAAGCGGAAGCCATAACAGCAAGCGAAGCTGAAGCTATCCTGATTGCTGATGAAGAGGCAGAGCTTGCCACTCTTGCTGCCAAGAAGGCCAAAAGAGGGAAGCTTGTCAAAAGGGACGCCGACCGTTTTAATATTCTGACAGAAAATGCTGCGCAGCGACAAGCCGCTAAGGAAGCAGAAGAAGCAGCTGCCGCTGCTGTGGCAGCGGAGGCCGAGGAGCAGGCTGCAAAGGAAGCGGAAGAAGCAGCAGCGGCTGAATCTGCTGCTGCCATAGAGGCGGCTGAAGCAGAGGCAGCAGCAGCTCGTGAAGCAGAGGATGCAGCTATTGCCGAGGAAGAAGCTGAGCTGGCTATGTTAACCACCAAGAAAGCTAAGAAGGGCAAGCTTGCAAAGAAAGATGCTGATCGATTTGCTGTTTTATCGGAAAATGCACAAAGGCGGGCTCAAGAAATAGCCCAGACTACCGAGGAACCTGAAGATCCTATACTGGAACCCGAGACAGAAGTTAACGAACCTTCTCCCGAACCAGCTACAGATGTGGTTTCTGCCGAGGCTGAAGACCCTGATGCTATTGCAGCTGCTGAAGCAGAAGCCGCTGCTATTGCTGACGAAGAATCCGAACTTGCTGCTTTGATTGCCAAGAAGGAGCGAAAGGGCAAGCTTGGGAAGAAAGATACCGACCGCTTTAACCTTCTCACTGCTAATAGCACAGCACGGGCAGAGAAAGCGTCCCAAGAAGAGGCAGCTGCTCAAGCCACTGCTGAGGCTGAAGCAGCCGCACAAGCTGAAGTGGAGCAGGCAGCTGCGGCTGAGGCTGCTGCTCTTGAAGAGGCTGCAGCTAGAGAGGCTGCAGAGGCAGAAGCTCTCCTTATTGCCGAAGAGGAGGATGAGTTAGCTGCTCTGAGTGCAAAGAAGAATAGGAAGGGCAAACTCGGGAAAAAGGATAGTGACCGATTTGCTATCCTGACCGAGAACGCAACTCAACGAGCCGGGAAGGCTGCTGCGTCAGAAGTGATGAAAGAGGCTGTTCTTGAAGTTCAAGATCTCCCTGCTGAAATTCCTGCCGAGGCTGAAGCCGAAGTCGACGCTGAAGCAGCTGAGGCCGCCGCTATCGAGGCAGAAGCAGCTGCCATTGCTGCTACTATTGCTGCCGAAGAGGAAGAGGAGCTAGCTGCCTTGATTGCCAAGAAAGACAAAAAGGGCAAACTAGGCAAAAAGGATAGCGACCGATTTGCTTTCCTTACCGAAAACGCTGCACAAAGAGCCAGAAATACAGCACATGAAGAAGCCGCTGAGGATGACCAAGAAGCCGCTATCGCCGAGTCTGTAGATATCAATGATCGCCCAGCTGATATCGAGGACTCACTATTCGAGAATGCTCCAGAGCCACCAGTTGTTGAAGAGGAGGCGACCCTTGAAGAAGATTCTGCAGCTGCAGCTGCAGAGGCTATAGCCTTGGTTGCCGCCGAGGAACAAGAAATTGCAGACCTAGAGGCGAAGAAGGCAAGGAAAGGCAAGCTGGGTAAGAGGGATACAGAACGATATGCCATCCTCATTGAAAACGCCGCTAAGAGAGCTGAAGAGCAAGCAACTAAGGAGGCCGAGCTCGCTGCTATTGAGTTTGCTGAAGCTGAGGCTGCTGCTGCTGCTGCTGCTGAGGAAGAGGCGGTGGCTAGAGAGACCGCTGAAATTGAGGCTGCGGCAGTGATCGCCCAAGAGGAAGAAGAGCTTGCTGCCCTAGAAGCAAAAAAGCAGAGAAAAGGGAAGCTAGGACGCAAAGATACAGATCGATTTGACTATCTTTTGGGAAACAATGTTGCAAGGGAAGCACAGATTGCTGAGGAACGAGCTGTAAAGGAAGCCGAAGAGCAAGCATTTCAAGAAGCTGCAGCTGCTGAGGCAGCCGCCGCTGCCGAGGCTGAAGACATAGCCTCAAGAGAGGCTGCTGAAGCCGAAGCTGCGGCTGTTGCTGACGCTGAGGAGCAAGAACTGGCCATCTTAGCAGCCAAGAAGGCCAAGAAGGGTAAACTAGGACGCAAGGATACAGAGCGTTTTGAGCAGTTATCTTTGAATGCTGTGAAACGAGCCGAGAAACAAGCGGCCCGTGAGGTTGAGGCTGCTGCTGAGGAAGCCCCGGCCGTAGAAGAGCTACTTGGCGAAGAAGAGCTTGAAGAACGAACCCCGGAACCTGAAGGGACTGTCGAAGAAGCCCCTGATGCCCCGGTTCCCGATATTGACGATGAAGCCGCTGCCGAGGCCGCTGCCATAGCCGCAGAAGAAGAAGCAGAGCTTGCTTCTCTCGAAGCCAAGAAGGCTCGGAAAGGAAGACTCGGAAGTAAGGATACCCAGAGATTCACATTTTTAACCGAAAACGTTTCAAGGCGCGCTGAAGAGCAGGCATCAAAGGATGCCGCCGCTCAAGCTCTGGCCCTGACTACCTCAGGAGATGTTGCTGAAGAAGAAGAAGAAGAAGGAGGAGGAGGAGGAGAAGAAGAAGAAGAAGAAGAAGAAGAAGAAGAAGAAGATATCCCCGGCCAGGAAGATGCTGAAGCTGCTGCTATCGAAGCTGAAGCCGCCGCTATAGCTGCTACTATTGCTGCTGAAGAAGAGGAGGAGCTTGCCGCTCTTACCCTTAAAAAGACGCGAAAGGGCAGACTTGGCAGAAAGGATACAGAACGCTTTGATTTGTTAATGCGAAATGCAGCTATACGCGCGGAAGAACGTGCCATTAAGGAAGCTGAACTTGACGGTGAGGCCGAAGAATTGATACCTGAAGAGGTTGATGATAATCCTGAACCCGAGCCCGAGGAGAATCATGATGCTGAAGAAGTAGCTGCTCAGGAGGCAGCCGAAGCCGAAGCCAGAGCTATTGCTGCGGAGGAAGCGGTGGAACTTGCAGCGCTAAACAAGAAGAAAGCAAAGAAGGGTAAACTGGGCCGTTCTGATACTGAGCGATTCAACATACTTGTCGCCAATGCTGCAAAGCGAGCCGAAGCTGAGGCGGCCAAGGAAGCAGGAGAGGATTTAGGAGACGCCCCCCGAGCTGAGGAAGAGGAGGACGATGAATTTGTTGATGCTGAAGATGGCGAGGAAGACGAGCTGGCCAAGGAGCTAGAATCTGAAGCCGAAGAACTTGCTGAGCCTGATCTACAGGAAGATGAAACGGCTATAGCCGAAGCTATGTTAGCTAAGGCAGCGGCACAAGCTGCCTTTATCGCAGAAGAAGAGGCCGAGTTAGCTGCGTTGACGAGGAAGAGGCTTAAGAAAGGAAAATTAGGCCGCAAAGATACTGAAAGATTCCAAGCGTTGACAGAGAATTCTGCTAAACGTGCCGAGGAGGCGGCAATCCGCGATGCAGAAGACGCAGTTGCAGAGGCAGCAGAGCTTCGTGAACCCCAACCCGAACCAGAACTAGAATCTGAAGCTGCTGAACCCGAGCGTGAAGATAATGGCCTGGGGGAGGCTGAACAAGCGGTAATCGCTGAGGAAGAGGCAGAACTGGCAGCTTTAATGAAAAAGAAGGCAAAGAAGGGAAAACTTGGTCGAAAGGACACCGAGAGATTTATCGTCTTGTCAGAAAATGCTACCCGCCGTGAACAAGAGCGAGCTGCTGTTGAGGCTGAGACTGAAGCCGTTCTGGAGGAGGCTGATATCGAAGCCGTGGGAGAGACTGGAGGAGAGGAGCCTGAGCCTGAGCCTGAGCTGGGGCCTGAGCCTTTAGAAACACAAGACGAAGAAGCTGCAGCCCGAGAAGCTGAAGAGGCAGCTATTGCGAGGGAAGAGGAAGTCGAGCTCGAGGCCCTTAAAGCCAAGAAAGTAAGAAAGGGCAGGTTAGGTAGAAAAGATACCGAACGCTTTGCTATATTGGAGGAGAATGCAGCAAGGCGTGCAGAAGAACGTGCTGCCGCTGAGGCTGCTATAGCTAATCCACCTGAGGAAGACGGTGAAGGTGAGGAGAAGGAGGAGGACGGGGAGGAGGAGGAGGAGGAGGAGGAGGAGGAGGAGGAAGAAGAGGAGGAAGAAGAGGAAGAGGAGGAGCCTAAGGCAGACGAAATGGCAATCCAAGAAGCAGAGGAGGCAGCAGCTCGGGAAGCAGAGGAGGCAGCTATTGCTGAGGAGGAGGAGGAGCTCGAAGCCCTTCAAGCAAAGAAGTCAAGAAAGGGCAGACTGGGAAGAAAAGACACCGAGCGGCTTCAAGTCTTGGAAGATCATGCGGCGAAACGCGCCGAAGAACGCGCCGATAAGGAAGTAGCAGCTGTTGAAGAAGACCTGAGAGTTGATGATACTCAAGAGGAGGAGCAGGAGGAGGAAGAAGAAAATGAAGTCGAGGAAGAGGACGAGGACGAGGACGAGGATATCGATAATGGCGAAGTGGGAAAGGGGGGAGACGATGCTGATGCTGAGGAGGCAGCAGCAGCAGCAGCAGCAGCGAGAGAAGCCGAGGAGGCGGCAGTTAAAGAGGCGGCAGAAGCCGCAGCTCGTGATGTGGTCACGAAAGAACTTCAGGAGCTTGACTCCCTCCAGTTCAAGAAAGCAAGAAAAGGTAGACTCGGCAGAAAAGATACCGAACGACTCAGAGTTCTAGAGGAGAACGCTATCCAGCGTGCTGCAGAGCTAGCCACCAAAGAAGAGGCTGCCGCAGCAGCAGAAGGTGAGGAAGCGGATCCAGTCGAATTTGGCAACCCTCCTGAAGATGATAAGTCGGACATTGAAGCCGAGGACAACGATGAGGATCAAGAAGCGGACGCTGAAGACACTGCGAATAAAGAACCGTGTGACGTCGAAAATGAAGCTATTCTCGGCGAAGACGAAGAAAAGGAACCAGAGGTACTGCCAGAGGATCAAGTCCCGGAAACCCCCGCGGATGATGAGATTGTCGAAGTTATCGACTTATCGCCAAAGAGAGAAAGGAAGGGTAGGAAGAGCAAATCTCGCCGCGATGCTCCTCCGCCTCCTCCAGTTCCAGATCCTCCGTTGACGCCACCACCTGAGCCGAAGCAGTCTCGAAGGCCCAAAATTCATCGCGAAGGAACCTCATTTGGTCGCTGGGCCGCGACACCACATGAAGAGAGGGATGAGCCCCAAGAGAAGTCAACTAGACATAGACGGCGAGAGGAAAAGACCTCGTCCAAGGGTTCCTCGTCCGATAAAGTCGAGAAGACTCCATCACGATCTCGTGGCACTGCTTTGTTCAGTAAACCCCCACTTACGCGTTCCGCTACCACGCGCGATAAGAAAGACGGCATCAGCAGCAAACGTCGCCACTCCACCAATGCTCGCGGACTTGTATCGCCTCCTCCTGAAGATGTGCTCATGGGCGAGGATGAATTAAGCAATCGCCGCAAGTCGCGTAAGCCTCGATTGCGCGAAGATGAAGATGCAATGATGTCCGGCGCTGCTCCTGTGCCTGATAGGTATGACCGACGTCGTTCAAATAAACCACGGTCGCACGAGGACGATGATTTGGTTATGGTAGATCCTGAAGTCGCGCCCGATAGACGCGAGCGCCGCCGGTCTCACAAACCACGATCTCGCGAAGAGGAAGAAGTCGCCGCGGTCGATACCGAACGTCGCCGGCGAACCAAGAGATCGAGGGATGAAGAGCCCGTGATGGTGGAGCCTGACGTTCCTTTTGACGCACCTCCTCGAAGTTCCAAGAAGTCCTCAGGTTTCGCTGGCCTTTTTAGTGGTTTGCGAACGCCGAAGACTGAACGACCTGACCCTCTGCGACGTCGCAGTACCTATGCGACAACTGACGACGAAGCCTTACGCAGCGCCAAAATGGATGGCGATGCAGTATTAGTGGATGCTGACCGCGAAGCAAGACGCGCTGCACGCAGGGCCAAGAGGGCTGCTGAAAACGGTCCTGACCCCGAGGAAGCAGCGCGTCGAGCTCGAGATGAGATACGCCGTGAACGGCGTCGACAGCGCGAGGAAGAAACCGATGCTCCAAAGCAAGATAAAGAGGCCCGCCGTGCTGAACGCAGGCGACAGCGTGATGAAGATGCAAGACGAGCCCAGGAGGAGCGACAAGCGCAAGAAGAACAACAACGACTGCAAGAGGAAAAGGAGGCACAAAGAGCTGAACGCAGGCGCTTGCGTAGAGAACAGGAAGCAGCCGCTGCCGCAGAACAAGCCGAAGATGAAGAGGCTCGTCGAGCTGCCAAACGTGAACGCCGCCGCCGCGACACAAAACGAGCTGCTCGAGGTGTAGAAGAGGAGGAAGGTCGTCAGCGACGAAGTCAGCAATCTGCAGACGAATATAATCAGCGGAGATCCCATCGCCGCGAAGAGAGACCGCAGGCTCCGGCTTGGCCTCATTCTGGAACTTCATCATGGGTTAAGGAGCACTCTGACGCACCCCCTCCTCCTGACCTCGGTGACGGGGGTGAAGCAAATGGTGGACAGACCGAGGACGAGATGGCAAGACGTGAAGCTCGCCGAGCTCATCGATCGAAATACGAGGAAGAGCCCACAGAAGAGGCCGAAGATCGGCGAAGGCGACGAGCAAGGCGAGACGACCGCGAGCGCGGTGGCCGAGACAGAGAACGTCACCGAGATAGGCGCTCGGAAGGTAGCGACGAGCGACATCACACCCGTCGAGCGTCAACCTATATGGAGGCAACAACAACACCTCGCACAAGTTGGTGGAAGAAGATCGCTGGATGAGGAGTGATCGGATGATGAACGAACGAACGATGCATGAGAGTCTATTTCAAGCGAGCGTGTTTGCCAATGCTATTTGAATGTTTGTCACTACTTCATGCATTTCGTTGTGGTACTCTTGTTTTTGGTAACCACGTTCTGTGTCAACATGACACCAACGTGGATGTGGTCGGTGTTTAGGTTGGCTTGACATTATCAACTCATGGCATATCTGGGATTGGTGCTTTGAGGATATTCTAGCATTGGATATTGATCTTGACTGGTATGGCATTTGAAGTCTGGATAAGTATGTATTTGGACTGTATGTGCTGGATATAGCGAACTGTTGTACTGCATGTATACCCAGGAAACAAGGCACGGTGTAAACTCAATAAATGGCTTTTTGTTTAGATTTCACTCTTTATTAAAGCTGAATATTTCGATGCGTGACCATCTGCCTACCTATGTTATTGGGGGTCTCTTTGTGTCGATTCTAACAAGTCACATTGTTGTCCACTACCTACCTAAGTAGGTGCCCAGAGGCAAAGAGCACGTTTCCCACTCTATTTGTCAATTTTTGGCCATGTTCCAGGCCGTACTAACGCCTCTTCTAACTTATGGAAGTACACGAGTTGGGGGTAATTCAGTCCAATTCAGATGATAATTAAATTGAATTCCTTGGGTGACTTCTTCACGCAATGATAGAGGCAATTCCAATATAGCCTGTCCCTTGTCCTAATCATCCTGGAGCATCCTCCCTGGTCTCGAGGTCCATGTCTCACTCCACTTCCCACCCACTAACCTGAGTACATGCCACTCCCAAGTTGCGCTGACGACACCTCAACCTTCAAGCCAACGTTCCCTTACAAACCACCACCACCGAAATACAACTACACACCTACATTGCAGTTGCGGTACAGCCTGGCCAACTCAAGCGCCTCTCCCAGGTGCTACATCTACTTCTTCTGCAGCACATCGATGAGGTGTCCACCAGCGATCACGTCAATCAGTTGACGGCCGACAACGACGAGCTGTGATCCAACACCTCGGGCGCTCTCGTCATTCGACCATGACTGCGCCGGGCAAAGGGTCGCGATGGGGAGCGTTCCTCTCGTCGGCCTTTGAAGGTGTCGAGAATCGTCTCGACAACTTACTGGACGAAGACCAACAGGCAGCACAAGGATATGAGCAGCAGCAGGGAATGAAGGCGGCACCCTCGCCATCACCATCACCAAGCCCCAAACCGACTGCATCTGGTATGCCTCTCTTTTCTCCTCGGCCGTGTTCTGGTGCGGGCAGAACTGTCGCATGCTGACTCCCTGTTCTTTATAGCTGCTGCCCCGAAGCCCAACCGTGCCAATGATCGTCTACAAGCTAGGTTGGCCAAGGCTATGGCCTCGCGAACCTCACAATCGTCTCCTCGCAGCTCCATCGATACTTCTCGTAGTTCGATTGACAAGGAGCGCCCTGCTAGCACTGAACCCGTAGTGATGAGACAAAGCATCGAAGTATCGGAGATCAAGCCAACTGAACCCGCCAACCAAGTCGACAAGTCAACCTCTGACAGCTCAGCTTCCGCCCCCCCAGCTGAACAACCAGCGACATCTGAGGGAAGCAACAATAGGGAGAATAGTGAACAAGACCTCAAGCATGATTTCCCCACCCCGATTATCGTTGAGCCGCCTTCTAAGGCCGAACCTCGAAGTGCACCAGAACAAGAAGTTACGGACAAATCCGGCATCCAGCAAAACCTGAACAGTCCAATACCAGATACCAGGCATCCTGTAGAGGCTCCACAGATCGTAGAGGCTCCAGTTGAAGAGTCACAGAAAGACCAGAACGCCACTCAAGCCCACGCGCTTCGTTCAGAAGAGATTCAAGAGTATATTGAGCAAATCGACTCACTACAAGCCAAACTGCAATTTCTATCTAAAAATGCCGCCGATGCAGCTAGGCAGACTGCAAATTCTGCTGAAGCGGGTAGTGTAGAGCGCAAATTGGCCGAAAAAGATGAGAAGATCGCTCTGCTAATGGAGGAAGGACGAAAGCTTTCAACTTCAGAGCAAAAGTTCCGAACAACGGTTCGCAAGCTGCGCACCCAGATTATAGACAACGAGAAACAGGCCAACGAACTAAAAAAAGGTAAAGAAAAAGCTCTAGCCGAGGTGGAATCCCTACGCAGTCGAATCAACAACAAGGAAGAGCAAGAGAAGAAAAATGAGGAAGTGCGGAAAGCGAGCGCTACGCTCCAGAAGGAAATCGACGCCCTGAAGAAAGACAAAGCTGTCAAGGAGGATGCCTATCGACGTCTGGAGCAAGAATCTAAAGCTAAGGCTGAACACATACAAGCCACCCACACTGAGGCGTTAAAAAAGGCGCTAGATATTGAGAAGAACAAACAGCAGGAACTTGACCGTACTATCGCATCACTGCGGTCGGAAAACGAGGCATTGGTTGAGAAATTGCGCCTGACTGAGGTTGAGTGGCAAGAGAAGTTAGACCGGGCATTGGAACGTGGCCGGAATATTGAAGAAGAGCTAAAACTCGAGCTGAGAGCGGCCGAGGGCAAACTCGAGGCAATGAGAGTGACGGCCGAAGAGGCTTCTGCAGGATCTGGCGGTGACATCAAGTTGATACGGCATATTGAAACCCTCCAATCGCAGTATGCATCGGCCAGCGAGAACTGGCAAGGTATAGAGACCTCACTCCTGACTAAGGCTGCCAGCCTTGAAAAGGAGAGGGACGAAGCGCAACGGCGAGAGTCAGAAATGCGGAAGAAGGCTCGTGACGCGGTAAACTATATGTTCTCTACTGTGAAAAAGGGGGAAGATGGCTGACACCTTCAACAGGCAACTCGATATAAGCGACTCGAGGATGAGCTTCAGGACGTTAGTCCAGCTCTCACAGTCGCTCGGCAGGAGCTCGAGACATGTCGTGAAGAGCTTGCTGCCCTCAGAATCCAACACAAGAGCGTGGAGACGGCCCTCGAACAGGCACGCAACGAGCTCGAGAAGCAGCAGCGAGTGGCGAGCAGGGAGGTTTCGGCCGAGGCCGAACGAAGGCAATGGGCAGACGATGTTGCTACAAGCACACCCCGGTCCCAGAGCAGACCCGATTCCCCATTGCTCTCTGTTGCCCGAACCTTTAGCTCGGACTTCATCGGGCTTCCTGTACCAGCAAGACAGCATCGTCGAGTGCCCACACCGGGAAGCCAAACCGAAAGCGCCGGCGATGGCTTCTTCTTTGGACGAAGAATGTCCAGTCAACCTCCTCGCCCTAGTGCTTTGTCCACAGCCGGCCATGCGATACCTCCCCCACCCCCTTTCTCGCCGTTTGAGCCACCTACCGAGTCACCACGCGCCGCATCTCCGCCACCAGATCGTGATGATGGTCTAGATGATGGTGACCCTTCATCTCCCCGCAACGTTGCGCAAGACATGATTTCGGTCTCGACAGTCGGGGCTGGTCCTTCTGTTCAGCTCGTCGAGAGAATGAGCGCGGCAATTCGACGACTGGAAGCCGAGAAGGTGGCTGCCAAAGAAGAGATGGCTCGTGTATGTAGCCAGCGAGACGAAGCGCGATCTGATATTGTGAACCTGATGACAGAGCTGGAAGCACAAAAATCCGCTTCAGCAAGGGTAAAAGAGTTAGAAGCAGAAGTAGAGAACATCAACTCGCGATACCAGACAACATTAGAGATGCTGGGCGAGAAGAGCGAGCTCGTTGAGGAGCTCAAGGCTGACGTTCAGGACGTCAAGGACATGTATCGCGAGTTGGTTGAACGGACCGTGATGAAGTAAGAAAAGGGAAGAAATTGTTTCTATTTCACTTCGTTGTCTTCTGCTTTGTTTTCTTTGCTTTCTCGTGTTCGCATCCTAGACCCGGCAAACGTCGCGATGCGTTGCACTTTTCCCCTCTTTCTTCCAGCATGTATTCCTAGCTACCCTGGCAACTCGATACCCTCACGCTCTGCACCTTGTAAGACATATCGGCGTACCTATTGACAGAGAGATAGAGTTAGATGGGAGTTTATAGAGTGGTGCGAAGAGAAGAGAGCCAGGAACTCCGTGTTTGTTGTATTTTAGAGATATACATACTTCTTTATCTGGTGCCAGATCAAGTGCTAGCTCGTCCGCGCTGTTCTTAAGGGTGAAATCAGCGCCTTCTTTGAGGAGGGCAACAGCAGTGTCCCCTGGAGAACAGAGGTTAGTGGCTTTTTAACGCCGGTAGCAAAGGGAGTCTTTTTACCATGTCCCTCTGCAATTGCGTGATGAAGGGGGGTGAAACCCTCATTATCAGCAGGGTTTAGCGGACTTCTGTTTTTGAGAAGCAGAGTCACCATTGGCACAGAACCGACAGCAGCAGCGCGATGTATGGGATACTGCCCCCTGCGATCGCGAACTCGGGTCGACGCGCCATTGTCGATAAGAACACGGGCAATATCAAGGTTCTTCTTGGAGGCGACAAAGTGAAGGGCAGTCTATATGGTGAGCTTAGATGGTTCTCGATTTAGCTTTAGTGATCGAAGCCTTACCTGTCCAGCAGAATCTTCGAGGTCCGGTGAGTATATTTGGATTGGTAGACGGAGAGCAAGACTTACTCTTGAGGTTCACGTCCGCGTCTTTGGAAATGATAAGTTTGACAACGGCTTCACCCTCTGGAACACTGGCTGAGATCATCAAAGGAGACCACCCGCTTTCATCCTAGAGTTTGTCGGTTATTGTCCTGGAGGTAGGAGGAGGCTGTCAATGAGGAGTCGTTGCTCACCTGGACATCAGGATCGAAACTGCGTTGGTTGGCTAACAATTGGACGATATCCAAGTTGTTAGAAGAAGCTGCCCAGTGTATTGGATACCGACCATCATTATCCTTTCGTTGGGACAATTTTGGGTCTGACTGTCCAAGAAATCAATGTCTGGTACATATAATTATAAAGGCGAATGCTGACCTTGAGAAGCCCTTCAAAGACAGTTACTATATTTGCCGATTAGTGGTGATCCCAGTCATGGAGTTGTATAATTCATGAAGCATACCTCGCCCCTCACGAGCAGCGGCATGAAGAGGAAACTTATCATCCATATCCATACTGCCTACGAAGCAACAAAGGCAGATAAGAAAATTAATATTGTTAATAAACTCCCGTCGCGTTGGAGATATCACAACAGGTGTTGCTTGTTAGTGTGATGGATGACCAGCCGTACGTAGCTGATCTTACGTAGGTAGATCCCTGTTAGCGCAACAGAGAGCTCGCAGGAAGTCAAGTACCAGGTGGAGAGCAAGATGTAGGTACATACCTGGTAGTTAGGTTAGTAGATATCCGAACCTCATAGCCACACATCTGTGGCGCTGTTGTGTAGAAAAATCTAGCGCCACACGCGGCTGCCAGCCTTTACACGCTTCCATTACAAAGAATAGGCCCAGTTTATCATCATCATCATCAACATCCCCAGCGGTTATCCAGGTACTTTTGAGTCGCAAAAACAAGCGCACATACATCATGGAGACACCGGAAGTGTCTCAAGATGCTCTTCGACTCAATGCCCTCGCCGCACAAAATGCGAACGTCTCGAGAACAGTCTACGCCCATGCATCCGAGCGATCGACCACAAAGCGCCAGAAGCTAGACGACGCGTCCGAGGACCCCATCATCAAGAGACGGTTCCGCAGCGAATACTCAGATGTCGAGACTTTACCGCCATCAATTGCTGCGAAGCTTCCAACGAAACAGCCTGGGAAGAAGACTTCTAAGGCTGGTGTGCCTGCTCGCCCAGCAATGAAACTCCTTGAGGGGGCGCCTAGTTCGGTCAAGGCATCTGCTCCTGCTGCCAAGGACGAAAGTACACCACAGAACATGAGTCTTACATCAAGAGGAGTGCAAGGCCTTCAGCAGCAGAAGCCAGAATGGCACGCGCCATGGAAGTTAATGAGGGTCATCTCTGGTCATCTCGGATGGGTGCGTAGTCTGGCTGTTGAACCTGGCAACAAATGGTTTGCAAGCGGCGCAGGAGATCGAACTATCAAGATTTGGGACTTGGCCACGGGCTCGCTGAGGCTGACTCTTACTGGACATATCAGTACTGTGCGCGGCCTCGCAGTGTCCCCTCGTCATCCTTACCTCTTCTCTTGTGGCGAAGACAAGATGGTCAAGTGCTGGGATCTCGAGACTAACAAAGTCATTCGTCACTACCACGGACATCTCAGCGGTGTCTATACTCTTGCCCTACATCCAACCCTCGATGTTCTGGTCACTGGTGGGCGTGATGGTGTTGCCCGTGTCTGGGATATGCGGACCAGAAGTAACATTCACGTCCTGTCTGGCCACACCCAGACGGTTTCCGATCTTGTTTGTCAAGAGGCTGACCCTCAGGTTATCACCGGATCTTTGGATTCGACAGTCCGACTCTGGGATCTCGCAGCTGGCAAGACCATGGGTGTGCTAACTCATCACAAAAAAGGTGTTCGTGCTCTAGCAACACATCCATCAGAGTTCACATTTGCTAGCGGCAGTACAGGAAGTGTCAAGCAATGGAAGTGCCCTGAAGGTGCTTTCATGCAGAACTTCGAGGGCCACAATGCTATTATTAACACGATGAGTGTTAACGAGCAAAATGTCTTCTTTACAGGAGGTAAGTGATACGATTCGATCTTCCACACCACATGTGTCTAATCTGAACTGTAGGCGATAATGGCTCCATGAGCTTTTGGGATTGGAAGACTGGCCATCGATTCCAATCTCTTGATACCACAGCTCAACCCGGCTCTCTCGATGCCGAGGCAGGTATCATGAGCTCAACGTTCGATCGTTCTGGCCTACGACTGATCTGTGGTGAAGCTGATAAAACAAGTAAGTCTCTATCTTGTCTTGACATGCTCGTCTTTGCCTTGCTAATGCATCTATCCTCAGTCAAAATCTGGAAGCAAGACGAAACAGCTACAGAAGAATCACACCCCCTCGAATGGAAGCCCACACTGGCCCGACGAAAGTTTTAAAGGAGCAATTAGAGGTGGTATGTTTTTTTAATTATTAAGAATGAATCGTCGCAGGACGCCGTTCGGGTTCCATACTACACTACAACTGTTATACACCGATACCCAAAGCCTTAAGGTCTCCGTCATCACGGAGGGCCATTTTTACTTCATCGTCTGCAATAGAAAGACGGAGCTTACTGGACCTCTCTGCGCGCTGAGCTTCAAGGTTAACCAGGCCGGCTGCTACCAGTTCGAGCGCCGCTGTGTGAATGTGACCGGGTCTGGTCATTGGGCGCTGACTTCCCATCTGCGTTCCTTTCAGGCCATTATTGAGAACTGCTGCTACGCCTGGGAGTGCTGCTGGAGCTCGAAGGCAGGCACGGTGTATCTCGTCGAGGGTATCCCCGAAGGTAGTCTCGGCAAGACCTGTTCTTCGAATACGCAGCAAAAGAGCTGCCATGACAAGCTTGGACATCAAAGGCAGGCTTCGAAGGTGTTGTTGAATGGGATTAGTGGTTGCTTCGTTGATGGCCTTCTTGATTGTCGCAATAGTAACGCGACCTGAACCTTTGGGTTGCGTTTGACTGTCTCGCTTGCTTGGAGTTGCAGGGTCACTAGGAGCATCGGCCTCGGCGAGCTCTACAGCTCGGCGGCAGATGTCAAGGGCTCTCCGGGCGTCACCGCTGACTGCGGCTACCTTTCGGCTGGCGAACTGTATAGCGTCAGGATCTACAATATCCCCAGGGACTCCTTCTAGTCGTGACTGAATGATCTTCATCAGTTGTTCGTGATTGTAACCAGGGAATGTGATACGTGTTAGACCTAAGGTTTTTAGTTGATATCACAGCAATGTGTCGAATTGAGATAATACCTAGTCGACTGCTGATCTTATTGCTGAGGGTTCTCTCGGGAAGATCCATGGTGTTTGCAACTGCAAGTACAATAAGACGGCTATGTCGTAAAGTGGGCCAGTTGAAGAAGTTGTACATGACGGCCTGATTCTTGGTGACTAGTTGGTCAAGCTCATCCATGAGCACAACACAAGGAATTCGGCGAGGGCTGGGGTTGTTGAACTCTCGTTCCAGATGATCAAGGGCCTGTGCTGGACTGGCTCTCTCCCCTTTGAGGGCTTCCCAGAGAAGAGTATAGGATTGGTGAGGGTCCGTGATCTTCATACCATTGATCTCCACGAATATGAAATCGTCCAGCTCATCAGAGCCTACAGCTTCTTCAAGCCTGGAGACGACCTCACGGACCGTCGCTGTTTTCCCTGTTCCAGGTGTTCCGGAAATGTAAATACAGTTACCTGTGCCATCCGAAATAGCTGCCTCGAGATGAGAATAAACCAAAGAAAATTCTCCTTCCCGACAAGGAAGACTGGTTGGGACCGAGGAGACATGTAGGCGAGATCGTGCTATCTGGAAAGGCGAAGATTCAACTTGACTGGGCGACAGTTTGCGTGTGGCCAAAGGCGTAAACTCAAGTCTCTTGCTTGCACTCCTACAAGTAATTGTTAATAACCCACGCCAGCGAGAGGGGCTTTCATCACAAACCTTTTGACACGAGAGCCTGGTGTGGCTTGGCTCCTTCGTGAAGTTGGCGTAGCAGCGACCGAGCCCCGTCCTGTTTTGGTTGGTGTCTGTGGGATTTGCGCAGGATGGTAAGTATCGTCAGAAGGTGATGGACTCCGAGCCTTTCGACGACGTCGTGTGACTTTCGTACCAGTCTTGACCCTATCCATCAAGGCAAACAAATCATGCTCACCCCGGTATATTTCCTCCCATATAAACTCGTCTGTGTATGTAGCAGTGCGGGTATTGCAGCCTCGTCGACAGACAAAGACCTTACCGAAGTCTGGATCGCTTCGAGGAACCTTACCCTGGGGGTATCTCGCAAGAAAACCATCTTGAGACATGATCTTAGCTTTGCCGTTGATTGATGCCAGGGGGTTAATATCCCATGATGGAGAGATATAGAGTTCATTCTATAGCTTTTGATTAGTCTACATCCAACAGCGCCAAGGGGTTTCAAAGCTGACTGGGTAGTAATCGGATCGTTTTTTGTCCCTACTTCGGATCTCCTTTTCACTCGAAAACCACATAAAGTTTGCTGCTTTCTCTCCCTCGCCATCGTCTTCAACAAATTCGCAGATCAAGGCGATCCAGGCTTCATTAGAGCCATCAGCTTTGAGCATGACAGTGTCTCCGATTCTGCATTCAAATTGGCCAATCCTTGCCCCGACGATCCTGTCGCCTGTCACCTTTCTTCGTTTTCTATCGCTCTGTGTTCCATCACCTCGTTCGGTCGTTGGGGTAGAGTTATAGATCCATTGCCATGATGGTTCTACGTCCGCGAGCTCGTCGTCAGATAGATCTTGGGGAACTTTAGACAGTTGACGTTTTGTATTTTCTTCCGAGTTGATGGGGGCCATTATTTTGTCGTTAATCAGTGCCAGGTGCTGCCACGGCGACTCACGCGTCGCAGGAGACGCGACTGAAGTAAGGAACAAATAATTGGTTGCTATGGGCTATGCATATACCGGGGTATTGTAGCCAGATACCTAATACCTCCCTACCTGGGTACTCCGAATACCTCGAGCATTTCTTTAGGTAGGTTAGTACCTAGTAGTTAGGTGGGCTAGTGGGGAATCTCTAACACCTAAAGTAGTATTGATACTGAGCCTTACATGGTCGCATTATTGCTGCCTTTACGCAACAAAATCATACGTTTGAACAGGGTTATGGAGAGATGTAAACTATATCTTACTCTTCCACCTTGATAATACTACAAGAACTTTAAAGCAACTATTTTATCTAAATAATTAATAGTATTTTTTATATGCTTTTCTAAAATAACTTCTTTTAACTTCGATTGATAAATACAAGGGCATCCTTACTCGTCTTATTTATTCCTTATACTAACTAACTCAGACATGTCACGAAATCAAAGAGAAACTTTAGACTACGCAAGGTACCTCATACTATGCGTCTACTTAACTACTTACCTTACTTGCATTAATTAGGTACCTAGGTAGGTACCTACGACGTGAGGTGAGCAAACACCTGTGAGCTGAAAGCTGTGCAAGTGCCATGCAAGATGCTGGATAGCAAACGGGATAGAGCAAACGTGCTTCGCCAATAAGGTGGGCAGCATCAGCTTTGCACACAAACAAAATGAAATGAAATTGTTTGCTTCATTCCCGAAGGTACCTGCCTTACCTACCTTACCTTACCCTAGGCAGTCACCCGGCGTGATTCACTGGGCTGTTTCCAATGCACCTCTTCTCCTTCCTCCCCCTTCCGCCTTTCGCCTTCTCGACTCTCCCCAACTACCAGTCATTTCAATATATCCTCTCCGGCCTGAACCTCAAAGAAAGATAACCATTGTCTACTCGCCACCAGCTCATTCTTCTCTGTTCTTTCTTAAGTAAGGGTGCTGCGCGACGTTATGTATCAGGGGAAGGGGGGAAGAATCCCCTCAGGTAGAGGTGACCCCATGCCTCCAACTTCTCTCTCAAAGGCTCTCAAGTTTGCGTCGACGAAAAATGAGAGGTTGAAGACAGCGAAAAACATCTACCAAGGTAGAGAAGACAAGATCCGGCAAGCCGAGGATGCTAAACACCTTGGCCGTCCACCGCCGGGAAAATATCTAGTACAGGTAATGATCCTCTCGAATTCGCTTCTAAGTTTATGTGACAGCATCTAACGAGACTTGAAGGCGAGCCTTGTGCTTCCAGGGCAACACTTGCTACCTGTCGCATTGGATGAACCAGCGGCACTCGACGATATACGCAGAAAATATCGAGTCTATATCACGCGGGATGTGCCAAACATTCTCGAAATTCACTGCGATTCTATCCATCGCCTTCAGCAGGCGTTTGAAGCGGTCAACTGGAGAATTCGGGACATGCGTCTATCCAACGACAGTTCTTCCGCACGCTTTCTTATACAGAGACCAACTAATGCGGCCGTTACTGACATGATTCAGTTGAAACTCGGAGCACGCCCATCCTTTCTTTCTAAAACCTCAAACACCATCAGTAACGCTTCTTCAATGGATGAACATTTGCCAAGACTGGCGTCGGACCTGACATCCTCGGCAGAAGGCCTGATGGCACTCAATAAGACCATGGGCTTGCGAGTCAGTTTCGGGCACGTTATCATTGCCAAGAGACCGAAAGGTACCGAAGACGAGATCGCATTCGACCATTTTACCACACTTATGGACATGTATCCCAGTCGTGGAGGAGCCTCGATTGTAACCAGGTGAGCGGAGCAACATGCTCAAATGGGGGATCACTATATCTGACACGCAATAGACTTGGAGACGCTCACGAGGCGGAGCAACTCTTGCAGTATATCTCACGCCCAGAGGCCGGCATCTGCAAGAACATAAAGGACATGAGGCGAGGTTGTGAAGTTATTGTAGTGGCCAATGGTCTGCAAATCAAGACTGAGGCCGACTACACTCCTCAACTTATGCAACTAGCAATGGTCCGCGCTACGAGGCCAGAGACCCGGGCACGTTGGAGTTGGACGACTGCTGCTCCTGACATGTACGTCAATTATTCGAAGAAGGAAAACCCCCCCCACTTACTCATGTCTTGCACTTACAGGGAACACGATTGGAACATTCGAATGGATGCTTGGGACAAAGTGGACGTCCCAACAGAGTTTAGAGACCTTGCAAAGAGGATATCGGTTGTCTTCAAGCCAGACGAGGGCACCATTCTCCCTTTGCCAAATGTCAACACGAGTAAACTTGCGATCCCCGCTGAGCAATTCACTGAAATTCAGGCAAGATCTTGGGCAATAATTCCATTCAAAGACACCCCCTATGTCCTCAAGATCAACATCACCGAGAATCTAAAGGGATCTCGCACGACTGGGGAGCAAAATAGTACTTGGGGGGTTGAATTATACGCCCCCCACTGGGAGGAAAGTCTGAACTGCGAAAGGGCTGGGGGGGGGGGCTCGAGAACATTTGGGAGGAGGGTGATGATCTCCAGTCGAGGCTCGGATGCTTCTTGCGGACCATTATGGAGGTCCAAGCTCTCCTGAACAGAGTGCATGCTGATACTGCCTCGTCATAGCAGGTGCGCAAAGGCGATGCTGTGCCGCTTGGGGTATCACCAGATGATACCTACTAAACTGGGGTCTGGCTAATCTTAATCGGACCTAGAATAATGGAAAGTTTTTTATTCTTGCTTTCAGGCCTGTTGATCGCCTTGCCCTTGGCCAGCCATGATCTTTTGCCTCAAAACTGTAAGGGGTCATATTAGCCTTGCTCCTACCTAGTAGAGGCTGCGTGGCCGAGAAAAGCATACCTTCTTCAATCGTTCGTGCGTTTGTCTGCTTCCGTTGGACAATAACCTCGAGATCTTTCAGGTTATTTCCCAGCTCCTCAACTTTGCTATCGTAGAACTTTTCGGCCGACTTGAGTTTCTGTGTGGTGGCCAATCAGTGAACGGTTCCAGGCTTGCCAGGATCACAAATACCTTTTCAACCAAGAATCCAGTGCCTACATCCACCAATACAGTATCGGCATCTGTGAGCTGACCACGAACGTAGAGAGAGTTGGTGAGAGGAACCAGTACAGAGTTGGAACCTGGAGCATGTCAGGTGCTGTTCAGAAAGCGAGGCTGTGCGCTGAGTGGGAAGCGGCTAAGCATGCGGATTATGTACCTTCGGGAGCGGCAGCGCGGCTCTTAACGCATTGGAGGCAGTCTTTAAACTTGTTCTGGGCGGCATGGAGTTGTGCGAATGACGTTGTCAAGTGCTCGAGCTCTTCATCAAGCTGCTTCTTGACTTGGGCAAGCTGCTGGGGCTCTAGCGTATCGAGGTTGACTATAGCGCAATGGGAGTCAGCAAATGGATATTCAGAATGAGTTACTAAGTAGCTTTACTGGTTTCTTGTCTTCCAGCCATCTTTTTGGTGTATACTGAAGTGGCGGCGGACAAATTGTAGTTGTCGTGAATTAATGTCTAGGTGCCTTTGAATGCCCCTCCAGGGTCTCGCTTGAGTAATAAAATGACGTGGAGTTGTTGAATTCTACTAACGGGGGTGCTATAGGCACTGTCATAGGTAGAGAAGGCCACTAATTACTTCAGCACCTACCTGCCTAAGATCATAATGTAGTTACCTCTACTAGGTACTAACTTAAGTATAGTAGCTACTAGGTAACCTACCTTACTACCTTATGTAGCAAGGAGGTGTCCAGGTAAAATCATACATTGTCTTACCCCAGATGCTCCATTTCAGTTAATTATTTTCTCTTTTAACTTTTTTGATTTGTCGATCCGTGTTGCTATGAACTGTGCTTTGTTTGTTATACATGCGTCTCGAATATAGTAGTTATGTGATACTAACTCAGGTCCATCCCTTACAGCCGATCCAATAAATTGGAGATGAACTCTGGCAGAGCGTCAAGCTTTATAGTTTCTTTGATCGAAAGCCGTCTGCATTGAACCTCGCAAGTTCCATTCTCTTTGTAAGATCTTCCCATGATAACCAAAACAGGAAACCCTACTATATCGGCATCTTTCATCTTCCAGACAAATGATCGCTGGCGATCATCGAGAACAACGTCTAAGCCATTACGCGAACAGTCGCCTGCGGCAAGCAAGTCGTAAATTCTCAGAGAGTCTTCGGCTAAGTCTGGTGTAGGTATGATCGTAACCTCAAACGGCGCAATGGCTCGGGGCCAATTCAGTCCTTGCTCGTCCGCGAGAATCTCAGCAACAGCACCAAAGACTCTCGAAACGCCAACGCCATGGCAGCCCATTTGAAGAGGAATACGACTCCCTGGGACTAGCCCCTCTTCCGCAGCTCTCGCCGGAATCCCCGAGCGTGGTAAGGTGACACAAGCATCGAGTGGTACTGAATAGCGAGTTCCAAGTTGGAATGTGTGGCCGCACTCTAAAGCACGATGGATTTTTAATGCGCCATCTCCACATCGAGGGCAAGCATCGCCATCAGTGATACGTGCCAAATTCAGCCCGCCACCAGAGGCTGTACTGCCAAATGTTGAGTACTCAGCTTGGTATGGTTGAAGATCTTTGGGCAACAACGGTAACTGATCGCGAACTCTTTCAAATACCGGTACAAGTCTTCCATCAACAACATTGATCACCTTTGCCGCTCCGCTCTCCAATGATACTCCCCAAAGTGGCAAGGGATCCTCAATGGTGACGTCCAGCTCAGGGACAGCTGATTTGAGGGCATGAAGATTGAGACCACTTTCTGCAGCGGTCCCCAATGATCGAGGATACCAAGCATTGATCAAGGTTTTTCGGTCCTTGGAGATACCTCGCCAAACACGAAAGTCAGACACCGGAGGGCTCTCTGAACCATCATATGCCGGAGAGGGGGGTCGGAGAGCAGCGACTTCGTCGTTAGCAGTATAGCCACAAGAGTCACAATTTACCACGGTATCTTCTCCGACAGAACTTGGCACGTGATATTCATGACTTAAGTCTCCGCCCATATCACCAGAGCTTGCCTCGGCCACAAAATATGGGAGTTTTAGCTCATCAAAGAAGGCGCGGTATGCTGCAGACACCTGGCGGTAGGTTTCCTCAGCCTCAAGTGTTGTGAGGTCGAAAGTATAGAGATCCTTCATCAGGAACTCCCGTGAGCGCAGAAGGCCGTGGCGAGGGCGACGCTCATCGCGGTATTTTCGGGCTGAGAAACGTAACGTCAGTAGGTTTAGCATCAATGGTGAAGACAGAAATGCGAACTGATCTGGTAAAGTCGAATTGGGAGGTCCTTGTATGAATTGACGATTCCGGCGACAAGGAAGGTGATCTCCTCCTCATGCGTAGGCGACAATATCAGCGGAGTATCTTTACGATCTTTGAATCGAAAAAGCTGGACGAGTCAGCCCATACCGCTTCGTCAAAACTCCAGGCTCTTACCTCGGGCGCAACAGATTCAAGACGACCACTCTTTCGCCACAATTCTTCTGATGAAATAGTTGACAGAGATAATCTTGATGCACCTATGGATAACGTTTTAATGACATGTGCTAAGTTACTGGCATCGTACTGACCAACTGAGAGCATATGTTTATCGATCAACTTTTCTATCTTGTCCTGAACACGGAGGCCTAGGGGAAGAAGCTGAAAAATACCAGAGTGAGCCTGCTGATGCATTAACACCCAAGTCATCGTTTGGCGACTCGGGCTAAGCGACCGACCTGGCGGAGGAAACCACCGCGAACGAGTTTTCCATGGCCAACTGAAAGTTGATTAGCTCACAATGGATTCAACAAAAACATAATTAACTCACACTCATCTTCATTAGCAGTAATACCCCCGGTTGGCACCCATATTCTCGACAGCGTAGACCGTTGCGAGTCGGCTTTTGCTAGACTTGTGACTGACAAGGCGCGCAGCTGGACACCCCGGGGGCCCTTTTGGATATAAGAGCCACCTATGTGAGCAATCCTTTTTCCAATCATGATTCTAAGAACCGAGACTACAAGAGATCTCAGCACATACAACTTTTATGAGATCAGGTCCTCTTTTGATAGTAATTCAACAATCGGAAGACCCTCCGTCTAATTGCTATCATTGTTAGTCATCCTGCATTAGCGCCCGTAGGCGCGCTAGACGCCCGGAAGGTGGAGGTGGGGCAATGGGGAAAACGTCAAGCCCAAAAAAAAAAAAAAAAGCTGGAGGTCTCCGAGATCCATTTCCATTTAAGAGTTTCAATCAGCAAACCGGCTCTGACAGCATGGCGAAGCCTTCTAAGAAATCGAAAGGCAAAGGCCCTCGCAGCTCTTCCAAGGGCTCAAACTTCGACAACAGTGCACTGGATAATCTGACGTCTACAATCGACAAAAGGCTTGGCAAACGAAAGCAACCTCCAACCAAGGCTAACAGCGAACAACATCAAAAGAGACAGCGAAATTCCGAGAGTTCATCTAGTGAGAAGAGCGGAAATATCGATGAAAAGACTCTATTAGAAGAGATTAAGGCCCTTGGTGGCGATGAGAGCGACCTGGCGCTTATTCAAGATGTTGATTCCGACGATGAAGAGTACACTCAGGGCCCCAAGGATTCTAGAGCTGTCGATAAGAGCCTTAAGGATGAGCTGTCCGCTTTCTCCAAACAACTTGGATTTGCAGAGGTTGAGATGAGTGAAGCCAGCGACCAAGAGGATGAGGAAGAGGAAGAGGAAGAGGAAGAGGACGACGACGACGCTAAAGATAACAAAGCTGAAGAGGTCGATGACGACGATAGTGAGCAAGAACAGGCCGTGGCATCCAAGAAACCCGCCCAAATGAAAGGCAATATGGTAGGTTGAACGATTTCTAGGGTGGGTTTTCTGACCGCTAACAGTAAAACAGGCCTTCGAGCCTCGAGCAGACTGGCATGATTCTGAACTACGCAAACTTCCTGCGCCGACTACTGATGAGCCAACTCCGCCCAGAGCCGCTCTGGATGCTTTGAAACAGCACGCTCTGACACTTCTGGAGGAGGACGCAACCAAATACAGAACTAGCGTCTTTGCTCAATCTTCTCACAAGTTCTTGTCAACAATCATGACTTCAGGTACGCTTAGCGATAAGGTGTCTGCTCTTACTCTTGCCGTTCAAGAGTCTCCGGTTCACAACATCAAGGCTTTTGATGCTCTTATGAGCCTGGCCTCCAAGAAAAGTCGAGGTCAGGCCCTCGGTGCCATTGGCGCGCTCGTTGATTTACTTGGCCCTGGCACATTGCTCCCTGCTGACCGCCGTCTTCGAGCTTTCCACGATCAGCCAGGGCTTGTTGGAACTTTGCAGCGAAATCCTGGAAAGCCTTGGGTCCCTGGTAACGCGTTGCCTGGCAAGATCACACCCGCCCACTTGATTGCTTGGATATACGAGGATTGGCTTAAGGCGACTTACTTTCGACTCATTCAACTGCTCGAATCCTGGTGCTCAGACGAGATTGAGTATTCACGTACCCGAGCACTCGATTTTGTCTATGGTCTCCTCAAGGAGAAGCCTGAGCAAGAATCCAACCTTCTAAGATTGCTTGTCAATAAGTTGGGTGACCGGGATCGCAAGATCTCTTCTCGGGCGTCGTACCTCATTCTCCAGCTGCAGAATTCGCATCCTGGAATGAAACCTATCATTGTCCGGACTGTTGAACAGGATATCCTTCTGCATCCATCTCAGGACCACCGATCAAAGTATTACGCCATCAACACCCTGAACCAGACAATACTTAGCAACAAGGAGCCTTCATTAGCTGAGGCCCTGATGCGAATTTACTTTGACCTTTTTACTATTATTTTGAAGACTGGAAGTCTAGGCATCACTGCGACACCGGACTCGAAGCCAGGCAAAGATGACGAAAACAAAAGTGACGTCAAATGGAACACTGGACGACGACCACAAAGGCCGCGAGGCGGTAAGATCGCAAAGCCCTCAGCTTCTGAGCCTGAGACTGAGGCTGCCGATAAGCTCGTATCTGCCATCCTGACTGGAGTCAATCGCGCAGCTCCATTCATGGTTGGCAACGATGCTATGTATGTGTGCTTCTGTTTCTTTCAGCATATCTTGTCGTACACGTAACACTGACACTACAACAGCATGGAATCTCACCTAGACACACTCTTCAAGATTGCTCATTCAGGCAACTTCAACACTGGAATCCAGGCACTTCTCTTGATCCAACAAATATCTTCATCAAGAGGTCTTGCAAACGACAGATTTTATAGGACCTTGTACGAGTCCCTGCTTGACCCTCGACTGGTGAACTCCTCGAAGCAGGCACTCTATCTGAACCTTCTCCTGCGCGCGCTCAAAAACGATGTTGATAGTCGCCGAGTCAAGGCCTTTGCCAAGCGTATGCTCCAGATCTCTGGTCTTCATCAACCCTCATTTACATGTGGGCTTCTCTATCTTGTCGGGCACCTACGCGAGAGTTTCCCTGATCTTTCAACTTTACTGGAAGAGCCTGAGGAGTCCATCTTTGACGATGAGCCCGCAAATGAGAAGCAACGATACGATGGTCGGAAGAGAGATCCCGAGTACAGCAACGCCAACCGTAGTTGCTTGTGGGAGATGGTAAGTAACAGTTTATTGTCTCAACTCAATGCTACCATACTGACTATTTTCAGATTCCTCTTCAGTGTCACTACCATCCGTCAGTTACAGTCTATGCGATGTCGATATTGGAGCGCAATAAGAAGTCATTGAAGCCAGACCTTGATAGTCATTCACTCATTCGCTTCTTGGACAAGTTCGTCTACCGAAACGCCAAGGTCACCGATTCAGCCAAGGGTGTTTCCATCATGCAGCCTCTGCGGGCTACCAAGGACGCTGGCGACATCTGGCTCGGCAGCCGTGGAGCTGGAGGTGCCGTGTCATCTGTGAACTCGTCCGCATTCTGGAAGAAGAAAGCGGAAGATGTTCCTGCGGAGGACATCTTCTTCCACCAGTACTTCCAGCAGGTTGACAAGGAGGGCAAGGAGACTAAGAAGAATGCTGCAGGAAACGTTGGATCTGACGATGAGCAAGAAGACGAAGTTTGGAAGGCACTCGTGTCTACGCAACCTGGCGTTGACCCTGATGACGACGGCTCTGATGTGGGCTTCGACCTGGACGACTCAGAAATGGCATCGGACGATGACTCGCAAGCATTGTCCTTGGATGGCGAGCTGGGCGAGGATGACAACGACGACATGAGCGTGGATATTGAGGGGTCCGAAGAGGAGACGGGTGGTGCTTTGATAAGCGAAGATGAGGAGGGATTCGAGGTCAAGGAGGCAGCAAGCGAGAAGCCGAAGTCGAAGCGCAGAAAACTCAAGGATCTTCCCATGTTCGCCTCAGTGGACGATTATGCCGAGCTCTTGGCTGGAGAGGAGGATATGTAGGAGGGCTTATCAATTGTGAGGACATGATGAAGCTGAACCCATGTTTTGATATTTTGGCGGTACAATACACATGTAGATGCAGGAGTCACAAAGACACATTTGAAAATACGCCCACGGTCATGTTAGACAATATGCCACATAAAATACATCTCTCGTTAGTTATTCCAGTCAGGTATCAAACCACTCAAGCTCATCGTTCTTGGTCAAGATTGCTCTGTAAGTCTTTCCGCCACTTGAATCCTCGCGCTCCTCGGTGTGAATGCTATGGAGCTTGGGAGGCTCATCACCACCGCCAATGAAGACACGGAAGTGAATATAAGATGGGCCTGAAGGGTCAGGCAAAGCGGGAATGCGAAGCTTTCCGAACAAATGAATACCGTAGGCTGATGTAGCGACACGAACAGCTTCGAAGTCGTCAGCACTGAAACCGACAAGGTCTTGGTCTGAGAGGTGTTCCTATATCTTATAAGCCCTGGTAAGCCGAGAAACACTCGATTGAACTTACAGCAGCTGCAAAGTACTCTGGTTCGTGCTCTAAGAGGAGGGTTAGCCTTAGGTCCAATCAGAGGTAGGCTCATATCGACGCACTATTGTAGTCGTGGCGGAGATGAACAAGAGTCTTCTTGAGCTCAGGGAGGATCTGTTCAAAGGCTGTAATGGAGTCCTCCTTGGGAGGGTGAACAGGGCCCAGATCGACAGTTTCAGCGGTCGCCTGGCTCAAAGAGTCAATATCAAGTTTGCCAATCAAGTTCGATAATCTTACCATTGTAAGCAAGGTGCCTCGTGAGTTCTAAGTGATTTGGAAATGGATAGTGAGTAAGTGAGGAACTCGATAACAACGGTAAATGGAAATGCACACACTTTAAATACTGGCTACGGTACTAGGTATCAAGGGAAGAGTACCTGGGCAGGTTACATGCACAAGGAATAAAACGCCCAAAGCAAGCACGCATGTCGTCAGCGGCCTTTGATCCTCTCCTTCAAATCATGTCTCACAAGCTCGTCGAGCTACTCTGGTTGGATGAGACTCACGTCACGGGTACTAGGGTCCCAGCACATGGCAGGCAGTTGGACATCATCCCGCGATTATCAGGGTCGTGCCAACTTGGCGCATTCCACCAGACTAAGGTACCTACCTAGGTCAGGTACTGTACCTAAACAAGCCACAAGGTGGAGCTTTCCACCGTTCCACGTTAGGTGGGTACCCCGGAACAACGTTGGCTATTGTTTAAGTGCATAAACGCCGAGGCCAACCCTCCTATCCGAGGCAAAGCGGAAACGCCGATAATCAAGACAACCTTAAATCTAATCAAAAACCGAGGCGGCGCATTTCTCAAGTTCTACTTTTTTTTATTTTATAGATTTCTTGTCTTTGATTTCGCCTTTGTTTCGTCAGCCGAGTTCACTCTCTAGAAAAACAAATTCGCTATGTTTTCTAAACAAGTTGGTCACAGTGGACGTCTTGCAGCGCAAGCTTGCAAACGGTTTGCTCGTCCTACGCAATCCCGCAGTTATGCGACTGGAGGTGTGTCTGCGCCCCTCAAAGCACTTATACCCGCAAGGTATACTGACAAATCTGACTTGTAGCCGCCACAGCAGCCGCTGGTGGTGCTTTCAAGAGAGCAGCAGGTATGTTGCTCGCTGGCGTAGGCGCAAGCACAGCAGGCGGTTTTGGAACATGGTACACGATGCATTCGAACGGCATGGGCTTCCACTCGGACGAAGAGAGCCTGCGGCGATTTGTCGCTAACCACGAAGAGGCGAAGATGGTGGAAGAGACGATCAACAAACACCCGCTCGTTGCAGAGCTCCGCGCCAATCCCGAACTCACCGAATCGCGGCCGCACATGAAAATGCCCGGATCGTACCGAAGTCGGAGCCTGACGGGAGGAGCGCTCATCGGTGAGGGGAAAATGCCAGTACCACCGTACGCCTGGATGGCGCCCAACGGCAAACAACTTGTGTCTATAGCATATGTCGGTGGCGACCTGTGCGGCCATCCTGGCATTGTACATGGTGGTTTCCTGGCGACTATGCTGGATGAGGGTCTCGGACGTTGCTCTTTCGGTGCGCTGCCCCATAACATTGCAGTTACGGCAAACCTCAATGTCGACTATCGCAAACCCACACCAGCGGGAAGTTTTCTGGTTCTTCGAGCGGAGACATACAAGGTGGAAGGCCGCAAGGCCTGGGTTAGGGGCCATATCGAATTACTGGCCGAGCCTGGCGAGAAGCCAACGATAGTGGCCGAAGCGCAAGCACTATTCATCTCGCCCAAGTATGCTGCGGTAAGTCATACATATCGTGTGATACCGATATTCTGGAGACGTTCTAATGCGCCTTATAGATGATGCCTAAAATTGGTTAAACGAATAGATGACACGTGTTATGACAACTTTTCTTTGAGCGAGCGACGGGAGTGACAGGCGCATTTTATATGGGTTGTGTTGCGGTAGACGAGGAACCTCACCGTCGGCAGGTGAAATGATGGACGACAGAGCATGTTACAAGAACACAATCTAATTACACATAGAGCGTTTCCTTTGGGAAACTCGATAGAGCGTGGCCGATCGATTTATCTGCCATGTATTATACATGTAGAAAAACATACAATTCCCCACATACAGTTCAGGTTTTCTTTCTTTCTTTCTTTCTTTCTTTCTTTTCCCTTTTCGCGGGGCCGACTTCCGGCGCATTGGACAGACACCGTGGAGTCGCTGGATCCGCCCCGGCCACTTAGCGAATAGGCTTGAATGGGACGAGGAAATGCCTCTGATGTCGCCATCCTCAATATGAGTTCCCATAGGCTGATTATAGTCTCATAAAGGTGGATCTCCGGGGAGTCTGTAGCAGTGGCTTCTGCCGCCCGATGGCCCGATCACGACATCGCCAGGGCACGTTGCCATCACATAGAGAGGTTCTTGGAGCGAATCATGTAGGCGTATAGCTAGAAAGATGGTATAAAATTTTGTCATCTAGGTCGTGAGGTCGCAATTGGCGTCAGAAATCACTATTATTAGGTGAGTACTTGGGTTCAGATCGATTTGATAGGTACTCTACCTACTCCGTAATATCTACATTAGTAGACTGCCCATTCTCACCCTTTGCCCATTGAATACTCTTCTTTTTTTTCTTTCTTTTTCTTCTTCTTCCTTTCCTCATTGTCTAATACCCATCTCAACATATCTTGCTTGCACAATGGCTACGTAAGTCAAAAACAAACCGCTCATCTCGTATACTGCCTGCCCTCACTGTGCCTATCTGGCTTCTGAATATTCTCTCCAAGTCTCCAAATCCATTACCCCGCCATCCATACTTCGATACACATCCCACTTCAAGACCAGAGGTATCGCTAACTAATGATGCGCTTCACAGCAACATCACCTGGCACCCTTCCTTATCGCGCAAGGAGCGCAACGAGACCCGTGGCCAGCGCGGTCTCACCATCTGGCTGACCGGTCTTTCTGCTTCTGGCAAGTCTACTGTCGCCACTGCGCTTGAGCAGCATCTTCTTCACCTCGGCGTCGCTGCCTACCGTCTCGACGGCGACAATGTCCGCTTCGGACTGAACAAGGACCTTGGCTTCTCCGAGGCTGACCGAAACGAGAACATTCGCCGCATCTCAGAAGTCGCCAAGCTCTTCGCGGACTCGTCGACCATCGCCATTACCTCTTTTATCTCTCCCTACCGAGCGGATCGCAAGGTCGCCCGTGATCTGCACGAGCAGGCCACACAGGGCGGTGATGAGCCAATCCCCTTTGTCGAAGTCTACGTTGATGTACCCCTCGAAGTTGCTGAGCAGCGTGATCCCAAAGGTCTTTACAAGAAGGCTCGCGCTGGTGAGATCAAGGATTTCACCGGCATTTCTGCTCCTTACGAGGAGCCTGAGAACGCCGAGATCACTATCAAGACTCACGAGAACTCAGTTGAGGAGTGTGTTGCTCAGATTGTTCAGTGGCTCAATGAGAAGGGCTATCTCAACAAGAAATAGACACCAAATCCATAATTGTGTTTCGCACTTAAAAAGAGACAGATAGGATATTACTGCCATGCGACACCTGCCGTCGTCACTCAGAGGCATAATAATAAGGTAGAATATAGGCGTTTCTTGCATACAGGCGACTTGTTCTATCGTTCTTCTTCCTCAGCTTGTCTTCCTTTCGCCAACCTTCCAGCCGCGCCAATCGCTAAGGAAACTCGATCTCGTAGTATACGTATGCCGTGTATTCGTGTCCCTCACCAGTCTGAAAACCAGCGGCTGCCATCTCCGAGCTCAGCGCAGCGTCGTCCTTGGTAATCTTGCCTCGCTTGTCCCGTCCAAAGGCATTGCCGCCAAGGAACGAATAGTTTGAGTCCAGAGCAGCCTTGACCTTGGGCGCCAGCTTGGATGTAGTCTGCGAATGTGATCAGTAATGTGAATGGAGACGCATTCGGCAGGCTCACCTTGACCAGGACCGATACGTAATCTAGAGGCAGACCATAGCGAAGAACTGCCTCAACAAAGACCCTTAATGTCATAACATGTATCCAGATCATGATACTTTCACTCCATCCCGTGCGTCCCATACGCAGAGCTTCGCCGCAAACCTTGCGCTCTTCATTGGTGACTCGATCGAGCTCCCTTTGCTCTTCTTGTCGACCGCCTTCAACATACTTGTACTGACGGGGCGTCCACTTTTGTTCTCGGCACTTGGCGAGGAATTCGGCGCTATGCTTCTTGAATGTCGCCACAGCAAAGAGAACAAACTCGTCGTCCTTGGCTACCTCGATAGCCGAGCGAGGCACAACCATGGGTGATATTGTCTCATACTCCTTGATGAAATCCTTCTTTGCATTGCCAGGAACAACAATGAGGTGTGTCTCAATGTACTCAGAATCCTGCACAAGAAGTTTCGGGTCGACGATGGGTGTCAAGGACTTGGTAGAAAGGTTGCCGCTGATTGAGACTGTCAATGATCTGAGGCTGGTATCTTTATCAGCGGAGAATACTCACGTTTGGCGTCGCTGCAGAGCCGCAAGGTTCGTCTTGACAGAGTTATACTGATTAAACTTTGTCTTAACGTCGGTATCAACGTTAGCTAATTCCTGAGGACATGTTAGTTGTAGCCTAGGACTGAGGTTGGTGGATCAACGCGCCTTTTGCAAAGTGTCAATAAGCTCTGCAAGGGACTTGTCGGCTCGATATCGAATTTTGTTCCAGCTGAAAGTGCTCACGTATTGATCAGTGGGTTCTGATGTGAGTGATTAGCGACTATCCGGTCTCAAAACAAGTGTGCGCGACTGACTATCGTTGACCATCTTATACTGGGCGATACGATCTTCGTCACCGTCGAGCACATTCTTCAGAGAATCAGCGACCTTGGACACGACAGCCTGGCATGACGCCTCGAGCTTGGTAAGCTCATCTGCCTGTTGCACCAGGGCATCCAGAGTGCCGATCTTGAAATCGGGGATGTTGAAAGGCAGAACGGATCCATTGTCGGAAGAGATGGTCCCACGCAATGACGATATGGCATCATCGCGATCGCTCGAGTCAAAAACGCCCTGAGGCAAAGATAGAAATGCGTATTTCGTCGACATTGTGGAAAGCTCGAGCTACAGGATATTCGATGGATGAATTATGTCGAGAATATCTGCAAGATAGGCTGTCGGTTTGATGAGTGTGACACCAGCGAAGAACGCGGGCAGCTCCACACGGTGAAAGCTATGGCTTTAATCGCGAGCCAAGCTCACAGGTTCATCGATCGATAAATGGCTCTCCGTTGAAGTCTTGCTGTTGAAACGGATAAAACGGGGGCGAAGGCAAGGGCGAGGTTGCGTCGAATCGCGTTACGTTGCGTTTATAGGGCGAGAGTGTTGCTGGAGTTGCTAGCACTACACTACCTAATACAAGGCAGTGGGAGCTTCCATGAATATCTTACTACCTACTCCGTAGCAGTTGCCCTTTGGGATCAGGAGTCAGTTGTGGATCTGTGGCTAGTGAGGTTAGGGATGACGACTGCTTGTGGCTGCCCGCCTCAATAGTCTCATACCTCGATCGAAAGTACTGTATGTCCGTGAAATACCTACTAAGGTAGGTTGAGTACCTAACCACTAACTTGGTACTAACGTCTATTCAGGATTGCCAGTTCATATATCGCATTGCCTATGTGTAATAAGACCCGAAGGTTGCTATCAACAGCACCCAGTGTACGTCGCATTAAAGAGTACCTAGGTCTAGTTCACGACAAGAAGACAATGTGGTCGCGAATTATTCAGTGTAACTACCGCCGCATCTGATGTCCATGGGGTCCCCACTACTGGACGGCCTTTGATCACGGGGCATTAACTAGACTACCTACAAGCACAGCGCAGACCAGGGCAAGTGAATCCAGTCACTAACACGGAATTCGAGCTGCGACACCACCACAAACCTCAATATGAGAACCATCGAGTTGCGCATCATCGAAGTCCCATGAGCCCTACACAGTTGACTTTGCCCGAAAAGTTCACTGTAAGAGAGCTACTGAGGTCAATAGTGTATTATGACCCAGCCTCATCCAGACGTCATGGTCTCAGAAGGACGTACGTGTTGTTCGAAACAATTTGTCGAATGTAATCAATGCATAGACTCACAGGCAATGCACAGCGCCTCCACACGCCATTGTGCTCGATTCGACTATCCCCGCTCCCGACACTGCTCGTGCCCTAGGTCCAAGCCCAGGTGCCTCGTCCAGTACAGTGTCGACAGACGCCGTGATACCTAGACAAAGAGCCACCAGATCAGATTGGCAAGTAGGCAATGCCTTATTTGATTTCCAGATGAAGTCATTCCATACTCCAGATCATGGAACAGCTGTTTTATCTAGCCCTGGTCCGCCGCAAGAGGACAAAGTGCTGGCTGCTAGCCTCAACCCATATCGCGATGGTCGTATCAGGACAGCGGTGCCAAGCAAGCTTAAGGGCAGGACGAACTTGAAGCAAGGTAACTTTAGTGTTATGCATATGCACATCCAGAAGCCGCAAATAACGGAGCGCGACCTTGCCGCCAAGCTTACAAGTGAACGAACTGCTGCTGCTGCCAAACTTGCAAGTGCTCAAGGGTATCGCTATCCAAGGAGGCCGCGGCCACCACACACAGCGGCTGCTCGGAATCTTCCACATTCTCTCTCAAATCCCCCTTCAGCAACCGCAGACATTCACGAGCCAGTTGCTCAGCCTCTACCCCTCGGAACTGTTATGCCCCATGAAGAGCGGCGGGCAGGGACGGTATCTTCACAAGCCAGCACAAGGCTTGAAGAGAATTCATTAACGGAATCAGCTAGTATGGAAAATATTGAAACAGAAATTCTAGCAGAATCAAGTGAAGGAGACTTCGCACCCGGAGTCAACCATGAACAAGAGGACGCTCCATTTATAGAAGCGAACTCGGCACAGGACGTCAACATGAACCCATCGAACGAAATTGCCACGCCAATAGATCCAACACAAGAGGCTAACAGAGAGCAGCCTATCATTACAAAACTCTTGACAACAACTCTTCCACCGAGAGAGGTCAGAGCAGAGCAACATCGACTTATTGAACTCTTACGAAAGCTGCACCCAAGTACAGTCGTAGAAACGCTTTGCAGTGCCCTTACTCAGTTCGGCGGTGCCACTCGGCGGCTCCCATCTCCCGATGGGGAGTCCTCTGTGAGTGGCTCGAAGAACAGCTCGGGCGATCTCTTTATTTCGTGGATTTCGGAAATCTTCCCTCCAAACTTTGCTGAAAACAGCACTACCAAAAAGCCATCGAAGCCCTCAACAGGGAGACCACGAGGTAGGCCAAAGGGGAGTACGAAAAGGATAGTAGACGCAGATTTACAACCTAAGCGTACTACCTTCGTTCCCCTGGCTATGAGGCCCAATGAAACGGACGATACGCAGCGTTCAACACTTGTCAAATGCCCGAATGCACCACCAGAGTCAGTTACAAATAGTCCACACTTGGGTATGCCTTTACCACGCACTTCTAACAATCAAAGCTCGAGTAAGCTACTTCCTCGTGATAGGAAGGGCCATGTTTCTATAGCAGCCGCTCCCTCAATTAGCCCGAGATTGATAAATGTTTCAGGGGAAGACCAAAGAAGCACCTCAGATCCATCGATGACACCCGCCGACTCAACCGGCAAACCTGCACTGGTCGTGCCAAATTATTCGGTTACAACGTCAAGACGCACGAAGAGTACAGGCAGGCCTCGTGGTCGGCCTAAAGGATCAAGGAACAAGCCCAGGCTACTGCGTGCCAAGCCTACTTCTTCCTCATTCAACTCATCAGACTCTCATCTTAGGGAGTCAAGGCCTCAATCTCATGAGCCAACCACAAGGGGAAATATGTATAATCCCGCAATATTCACGCCTGATTCAAGCGATATGACCGAGACGGCCAGTGCTCTTCGAACCACCTTTTCTCTTCCAGAGTTGCCCGATCCTACTGAAGAAGCGGCCAGCATAATGCAAGGTGGCGCAACTGGCTCGCCTGATTGCACGCAAGAGAACAAAACACGAACAGCCGCTGGCAGTTCTGTTATTATACAGGGGCCTCAGGTGCCACCCAGCAACCACCAGAACGGTGTCCTAATTTCTTCAAGGAAGAGAAAGAATTCACTACATGGTCCCTGTACCAACACTCGAGTGATCCATATCCCCCAAACGTCCCCCAGGACCGCGAGATTAGTCACCAATACCCCTCACGAGAAACAAGTCAAGCGTCTTCGTGTGTCTCAGGAGACAGATCCAAGAAATCTTGGCACTAACGAAAGACATTCCCAATCGGCCGATGCAGAGGCTTTAGCTTTTCGTTCAAGTGCCACTAACAAACACGCATCGTCTATGTCGGGCACATTCGCCTCCGAGGTACAGGCAATTGAGATTGGGGATAGTTTGAGCCAGGAAGTGCCACAAAGCCCATCTCATTTATACCAGCAGGATCAGGGGCTCAAGCAATTTGATGAGTCCTGCCAGACCCAAGCAGATCAAGGCGTCCAAGTTCAACGCAAGCATCAGCCTCGGCATCATTCACCACAGGATTTGAGATCCGAACAGTCGATCCGACCAACCAGTCTATCTTCTGCAACAAATACTCAGCCACATAGCCGTGACCTCGTGGCTCCGAGAGATGTTCTCCAAAAAGTAACCGTAGTGGATTTATACCAACGCCAGCTACGACAGCAACGACAGTTGTCGAATCAATAAGGCAATCCCGCTGCAGGCCCTTTTCCCCAGACAGCAGGCCCAAGTTCTCATCAGCAAGCTCAAAGACTTGACACTCTCAACCCTAGTTCCTCGACACAAGCAACAAGGCCTCCGTCGTTCAACTGGGACAACACCCTTGGCAAACATCGGCCATTTTGAGTCGCATCACCCGCTTAGAAGGGCCAGCACAAATCGCAAGTATGGGTGGAACACCCTCCAAGCCTCCTAAAACACCATCAACGCAAGTAGCAGACATGTCTTGAGTTCCCAACTTTGAGAGGTAGAACTACGCCCGAACGTACAATCATAGCAACTCTGGCACAGCAAAGCAACTCAGAAGCGATCCATGCTGTGGCAATGCACTAGCCGAAATTCACAGACGTAGCCAGTTTTTTGCACTATGAAGAGAGTGTGAGAATATGAAAAGATATCAAGGAGCAGAGGTGGGTGGCCCAAGTCGACCAATTCCATGTGATTCGACTTCTTCTGCTCTTGGGCGGCAGGACGGCTCAAGTATACACGTCCTACACATCATGACACGGACACCGGAATGTTTGCACAAGAGCGCGAATGTAAGGTGAGTATCACTTGTGTGGATACTAAGCAAAGAAAACTATGTCTTTAAATACCGGAGGCTTCATTAGAGGAAAGACTGTGTTTCCGGTTTCGCTAAGTAATTATGTTTGTGTGCGTGGATTGTATACCACTTATAGGCAAGATCACATGGAAAAACAAAACCGAGCTACACAGTCTGGTGGTTGATCTGATGCTCAGATCAACGTATCCTATCTCTTTTTGGCATACTTGAGAATAACCTTCTCGCCTCCTATCAAAGTAGAGGCTGCTTGGGTAATAAATATACAGCTATCTGAATGAATAAAAAGCCAAGCCAACTTAGCCTCTGAGGTCAGTGCACACAGTGGGATGGGGAAGTCCATTTCACTATTTAGAGACACGAGAGCCCTTTGTCATTTCAAGGCACTCGGCTTAGGTCTCAAGTTGAGAAGAAAGTGCTGAAATATGAATGAAAATATAATGTCGTATAGACAATCGGTATCAATATGTATAACCAGTGCTCCCATCCAGTACCACCTTCGGCAACGCAGTAGCCCTTTTCTCCGCAACCCATAAAAAAACGCCGTTTAAATGCTCAAAAACCGGTTGTTTGACGCATGCATGTACCCAGGTAAAACGACAAGCAGAAGTAATGGTATAACTTCTCAACACGCTCGCCAACAGCAACATAACAAACGAAGAATGCCTAAGATGTAGTGAAACTGAGGCTTAATCCGCATCGTCATCAGTGACACCGATGGGAGGCCGCACAGAATCGGGAATGCTGCGGCCGTACCACCATTCGTCCTCTTCTACCAGTCCATCTTCACTGATCAAATCCAGCATGACTTGTTGGTTGCGTTTGATATCCTGTGGACGCTCGACAACCCGACGCTGAAGGATCAAGGCTTCGGCGGTTGTGAGCCATATTTGCTGCAGTACGGGAAGGTCGCTGAGTAATACCTGAGCCTGTTGTGAAGGCAAAGGTGACATGGGAGCCCCAGCAGATAAACTCGTGTTGAAGACAAGATTGGTCTCCCAATCCATATTCCCATCTATTGAGCCGGAACTCCGGACCTTGTTCAATACTGTACCAGACGATCGAGCTTCACTAGTAGATTTTTTGCGTCCGAAAAGACCTCGTTTCGGTTTCGATGTTGACTGTTCAGCAGATGGCGCCTCTTTCGTAAGAGCATTAAACCATGTGTCAACAGCACCACGCCTGCTGTTATAGCCCTTGATTTCCCATAGCCTTTCCACTTGTCGGAGTCCACCAATGCACAAGATGGCAACATGCATATCGTCGGACGGTTTCTCCCGAATATAGCCACGAAGTGATCGCTCGACTCTACCAACATATGTCGGTGGTCGGAGTCTCCGACAGAAAGATGATATTACAAGGGGAAAGACTTCGTGAACCCTTAACAAGGTTTGGTCGTCGTACATACTCATGATTTCGGCTTCAATGGGGTTCAAAGTATAAGGTTCCCGTCTCAATCCTTTTCCTCCGTTCTCAGCCATACGCTTTAGGTAAAGTTTCCGGTACGTCTCGAAGAAGTGGAATATAGTAAATAGAAGAGGTATTAGACGTCGTCGCATGCGCTCATTCTGGGGTGCAAATGCAAGTCGTTGAGCTTCAGTCTGGCGAAGGAAGATATCCTTTGTGATCCATTCACACATTAGAAAGGCTAGCTTGGCAGCGACGTGTAATCGATGCCATATCCCGCATAGATGTTGGAAGTTGATCTCGCTCGGGTCTGTGATGGGGTAGAGGCGGGAGGCGTAAACGGGAATATGATGTTCGAGATGATATCGAGCGATAGTATTTTCGTTGAAAGTGACGAGAGTATGCCACGATTTGGAGGCAAGTCGAAGGTTCAGGACGTCGGTTAGTGGGAGGGCAGAAATGATTTGAATCTGTAATTCGTTGGGAAGTCCAAGGAAGAGCTGATCGAAGCTGGCACTAATCTCACCGGTCAGTAAAGTGAAAGAACAAATATTATGCCTGAAGAGCATTACCTTTTTTGCGGCGTCTCAACAGACACTCGAGGCGCATGACCAGACGCGACATTTGATTTAGAGTGGAGGATCGAGACCTTTGAGCGAAGGCCGAAAAACCTTGACTTATCACGCTTCTGGTCAAGAGGCCTTAAAGATTCAACATCGGCAGTTTTCGTTTCTCGTAGAGGAAGAATAAATCTCGAGGGCGACGTGGAGGCATCAAGATTATCTCGAATCGGAGGAGGTTGGTGCTGATGTTGGTGTGCATTGAGCTGACTCAACTTTTCGAAATAGCGCTCAGAAGCAAATTCAGTGATATGTGGCGGATCCATAGCCATCGTCCGCGCTTGATGGTGAGCCATGGTGATGGGCGTCGAAGAGAAAACGAGCGACGTTCGATGTTCGACGTTCGACGCTATCGACGAGAGGGCGCGAGGGCCGCGACGTATTAGAAAGGACGATGTCGCCTTTGCTGGGCAGGCCTAAGTGGCTACAGACGTCCGTCTCTATTGCGCACTGAATGAGAATATACTCGACATGGCGAGAGGAAGGGCGATTTGGCGAGACGGAGGGATCGGGAACGCCGAAAACTACGGACCGGAGATCCGGAGGCACAGGTAAATCGAGTTCGAGGGCCAGACGTCAAAAGAAAAGGCTGATGATAAGAAAGACGAAGGGCAAGCAGTTGATCGATATCGTGAAAAGCGAGTTTGTGGTGTTTCGTGTTGGCTTGGATAGAATGAACTGCGCGGGATAAACGGGAAAGTGGGAAGGGTAATGAATGGTACAAGGAAAGAGCGAGAGAGCGTAGTGATGACTACTAGCTGGGCCGTAGAAGGAAGGGGACTTCCAGGTACAAGGATACTTGGGTACCTACGGTACAAATCCGGGGGAGAATGGAACGACGTGGAGGGGGTGTGTGAGGTGGAGCGTTTTACTTTTCCCTTCCGCAGCATGGAAGAGGTGTGAATTTAAATGGGTCGCGACTCCACAGACGGGACGATAATGATTCTCTCTGTACTCCGTACGGAGTAGAGACAGGTGCGATCTCGAATTGGGACGAATGGCAAGAGTGAACCACTGCATATGATAGATGCCTACTGGGTAAAAATCAAGCTTTCTATTCAGGCCAGAGACCTAGTGGTTCGTGTTGAGGACTGCATATATTTTCCCATGTTGAGGCGATGGTTAACATAGAAAAGCTGAGTTTGGCGTGAATGTCCCAAGTATCTGGATACTTCCCGTTCTGGGTGTTACCTGGGTTCCTACTAAGGTACGTAGATAGATTTGGGAAGGTTTGGATGATTGAATGATAAGGTACATCCCATATCGCCAAGTGCAAATACACCTATCGGCTGGGCTGATATGAAAAGAAGGAGCCAAAATAGAATTGAATTGAGGATCTTGTCACCCCCAACGACACCTATAGTTAGAACGAAATGAAGAATTTGGCCAGCACCAGACCATCCCATTGAAAAGGTAATTGACTGGCGAGGGGGGGACGGACCGACCGTTTAATATGGTGGGGTGTTCTTTCGATTGACGGCTTATCGGTTTATTTAGGTCAATCCAGCACATCACAGTGACAATTGGGACATCTAGCACAACTCATGGTCGCCCAAGGTGCCAAAAAAGCAAGCGTTTGGTTCGCCTCAAGCGGCGTTTTGGCCGGCCAAACTGTGGAGAGGACACTCCATGGCAGCTGTGGGGGGACATCGGGGCCCCTTTTTTTAACATAGCGCGTGGGTGTACTCCAGTCTGGAGAAACCGCGTGAGCGAATCTCCCCGGTGCTTTGGACTTCCTGGAGAGGAAATCTGGGCAGCAGAGAAGGAAAGCCCCAGACCCAGAATGACGATGGAGCCCGTGGAAAGCTCTCCACTGCCTTGCGCAAATCTCCCCACAACCTAAACAACAGCAGTTTCCATTAGCATTAGCATTCCTCGGGCCCTGAATTGCCTGTGGCCCTCAGGTACTTTTAGTGACCAGCTGACGTTGGTGATGCATCCGCCCTCCACTGCAACGCTCCAGAAAAACGCCGGTGCTTAATAGTGTACAGTTATTGCACGGTATGCAGTAGGTGCTTCTACGAGTGATATACTCAATTTCTTGAGTGATGCACAGTGTGAGATTGCTTGCCTAACCCCCCATGATCGTCAATGAAATTCCCGACTCGGCCCAATTGGCCGGCCCTACTCTATCTTCCCATCCGTTCCATGCTATGCAGCGTCTGGGACATGTGCCTCCTGTGTGGTTCATTGCGGTTCAGATGCGTTGCGTATATGGCTTTCCCGTTGATTGTTCCCGAAGCTCTATCAAACAAAACAACGTTACAGCGCCTTTCTTGGCTGTTTTTAGATTTCAACTAAAAGCTACTCGCAATCCCTTAAAATTCCCTTTAACTGACCAGCCGCACGGGAAATACCTTATCACTTGCCAAACAGATCCGTTGGGGAAACAGAGATGGCAGCTTAGAAAATTACCACTGGAAAGATTTCCTTCCTCCTACTATGGATCTCCCCCTCTCTTTTTTCTTTGTCGTTCTCTTTTTTCTTTTTGAGGCTTGGGCTGGGACATTCACATTTGGTTCCTAGCCTCTAGGTACTAAGGTTTGTCTTGGCCCTGCCCGGCTTCTCCTAAACTAAAAGGTAGATTCCTTAAAACTGGCTTTTCTCCGGGTCTTCACCGGATCCGCCACCCGTTGATATCTCGGTCTATTCTTCAGGGATTGCATTTAGCCGGCCAAATAGACTGGGTCTTACAGGCGTCAGCAGACTTTTTCGGAATGGGTTTACCCTCGTGCTTTTTATCCTTCCTGGTCTTCTGTTCACATATGTAGTGTTATCTTCATTAACATTTCATCAATGATCAAGCAATGAGACTGCCCGGGTCAGAGCGAATTGGATGGATGGCATCCGTATGGCCTGCTTATCAAAGTGCCGGCAAGGAGGAGGTCCAGTAACCATAACTTTCAGATGGACGGTCGGAGCCTTCAATGAGCTGGATACAAGATACCAAATACTCCGTAACTATCCTGAAGCTACATGGATCAGCTTAGCTAATTTATTTACATCTCGAAGCTGATATCGAAGTCCTCGTCATAGGTTTTCCGTGGTATGATGTTTAAGTTATCTTCAAAGCTCATGCAAACTTCATACCTTGCCAATGTACCCGAAACAGCCTTCTGCTGACTTGTCATTAACAACCTTTGTGTGAGATGGACCAAGTGAGGGGATGGCGTATCGAATATGTCAGACCCATGAATATCGACTCACGAGAGAGCTTCGCCCCAGGGGACTACAGTTACCTCACCTCACCTCACTTGATCCTCAGAACGAGAGCAATGGCACCGAAAGGCTTGGACCAAAAAAATGCATCTGCCCCCGGAATTGCGTGGACCCATCTGCAACAGAGTCAAGCCGAGAACCCTCTCTCCAGCCGAGAGCTGCATATGTACGGTAGTTAGTTGATAAAGGCCAAGTGAGGTGAGTTCTATGGAAGAGCTCGAGACCCAATGGGCGAGTGCTTTTGCCGTGCGAATCGGGTGGCCCGAGGGGTTCGCTTGATACAGGTAGCTCGATGTTCTCTGAGCATTCATTCATTGTCCATATATAAGCCTTCATAATGATGAATAAACTGCACTTGTCCGACTCTTCACAATGTTGCAATGTAGTGTATATGCGTGTCTCGAGCAACCCTAAAAGCTTCCAACTGTTTCTGAGCCAATTTCCGTTTAGATGCAACAAGACAGGTATGGCTATTGACGATGACGGGGGTTCAGTGCAAGTGTGATTCATTTCTCCACTTCACGAGAGACTTGTAGTTAAGTCAGTTAGAAAGCCATTGAGCTATCGTCGTGAGTGAGCTTTTACGTGCCAATACAAATCATACGAACGGCATTCGTTATCATATATGTCTTATCATTAATGTTATCACTACGGTTGATATCACTTACACGACGTCAAAATCCTAGATTTGAATCTTAGCAATCTCACGAGTAATGGAGAGTTCGATAATTGGGGTTGTCTGAATACGGTTGTGGATGCGAGGACCAGCTGAACGGACCCGAGACACACAACCTACCTACCTAGTGTCGGGTTTGAGGGGGGGTGTTCCTATTAGTCGCGGCCTTACTGCGGTGGTTCTGGGCAGAAGGACTGGCCCCATCCGTTACAAGCTCGATATCCAGTGTCTCGTTGACGCCGATCTTGAGAATCGACTTGGGCCTGGTTGGCTAGTGATTTAAAAGAAAAGCAAATATGAGCACAGGGGATCAGTACCTATGCTGCTAGTGAAATGACTCGGAGTAGAGTTATTATAGCTAGAGCCCTACACACACGGCAGTTCGTGGAATAGATAGGTAGAGACGTCAATACGGTAGAAGAGTCTTGTCTTTGGGATAACGCCGCATTGGCATGAGATTCTGTAACGTTTCCTCTACTTGGCCGGCATCTCGGTAAGCTTCTCTTATAATATAACTTTGTGTTGACTCGAGATTCTGCTTCAGAATAAAAAATAGAGTAAAAATGGATAAATATTTACATGGAAAGTACGCAATGTGCACAAATAACTTAGAGCCAACAAATACCAGCTTGGGATCACCTATATCATATTTACAAAGGTACTTACTTAGAACATCTGCTAGAAATCAGGAGCACATGTTAATAAAGCTTGGTTCTCGAGCTACACAGCAGGTGCTGTTATTATTGACGACGTATTCATGACTCTAAATCACTCTGGTCTCAAGTCTGTCACGCAATCGGCCGATAAGGAATGGCTTTCGTCCCGATATACCGATAAAGTCCAGCCCCCTAAACAAGGGAGCAGGCCAGGGCAGTCAGCACTGCCTCAGTCAGCACACATTAATGGACTAACCTATCCGTACTACTCCGTAGAATACCTATAGTACCTACTCAATAGCCTGTTGTAGACGGTATCTTAAGTTGGGAGTCGAAAACACAAGAATGACTTTCGGTTAAGGCTGGGTAAAAGCCAATCTGTGTGGTTTTTCTTTTACTCCCCCAGCTCATAGACGCTACCTAGGAATCACTCCCAGGTTCAAGGTGATGAAGGGACCCTTTACTGCCTTGGCTAGCACCCATGAGTTAAGGTGCGGTACCTAACTAAGGTTAGTACCCAGGGTATGGATAGGTACGCTTCTCTGTGTGTTCTATCTTGCTTCCATTTCCAACAAACAGGTTCTTATCGAGTACCTCAATGGAATGATTGGATCGTCTAGGCAGTCTTGTCTTTGAACAGCTTCCCTTTCCGTGCAATCCGCCGCCATTACAGTGCTGTAGGCAGGTACTAGACATGACTACCTACCTATCCATTCACTTAAGTACTACTTACCTACGTTTATCTACCTACCTAAGGTACCTTACCTACCCAAATGTTGAATGGAGGGAGGTAGGTACCGTAGACGCGTCCACAGCATTTCCCCAAGTCCATTCCGTCCCATCCCGCGTTCAGTCCACTTCTTTCCCCTCAAACTTCTCCTCTCTAATATTGTTATAAACGCTCAAAAAAAAAGAAAAAATAGAAGCTGACAGCCATGTCATGTCATATTCCATCTCATCTCGTGTTCAACCCAACCTAGGTACCTAGTGTTCCGTCTTCTGTCAACGTCCTGAAACTGGCAACTCCCCCGCCACTATCTACCGCCACCGCCGTCTTCTCCCCTCCGACTCGTCGCCTAACCTCATCAGAGACGTTCAGAGTCAACTCATTTTGACATAGCACCCAACACAGTTACGGCTGCATTGCGGAATATGTCCGGTGCCTCCTTCCCGTACCTCACTAAACCAATATACCTAGGTACCTTGACTGGCTAGATTCTTCTGATACCTTACCTTACCTTACCTTATTCACCGAAATAACCTCGTCTCGGTCCGAGAAGGAGCGGGACCCTGAAAAAACGCAAAGGCCCAAGTCCCCGAGAAGACAGCAATAACCCAGCCGAAGTCAGTAACAGAGAGAGAGACAGCGCACATATTAGCGAGCCTTCCTAGAACGAAGTCGAAACAAAGCCATCGGGCTAGTATCAAAGTGCCCGGATTTCAACCCCGTCTCCGCCTTCTCAATCCCCATCCCCATCCCAATCCACGTCTCCGTCCCCGTCTCCATACTCTTCAGCTCGAATTCAGAGCCGCTGTTCAGCAGCGTTCACCCTGGAGCTCAATATCATTTCTTCCTTATCACCTTCTTGCTTCCCCCATAACGAGAAAGTAGCCCTAAGTCATGACGACTGACCCGTTTTCGGGCTCTTCTCGGCCTGGAACCCCATCTGCATCTGCTATTGTCGGTGAACCCCCTATCGTCCCTTCTGTGGAGGCTCAGCACCTAGCCCGCTTCGAGTTCAGCGATGCTGGTACAAAGGTTCTGATGGTGGAGTGGTATCCCGATGCCGTTCCGGGCCCCGCTGCATCTGTCATTTGTCTTGCCGACACCCCCGGTGAACAATCCGCCCCGGCTGCCGATCGCATCTCCGCAACGGAGCCGGCTCCGATTTCTGCTCCGGTGGACAGCATCAACAGAACATGTTGGCAAGTGTCGTGGCCGGGTAAATCTACTAACCTCCCTGCTGCTGATCTTGAGTCAGACACTGCTCCTGTGTCTTCATCTCGTCAACGTCGTCGCCGTGTATTCTTCCTGCTCCCCGCTGATGCCACGGTACCCTCAACGATCACTATTACGCCGCCTGGGTCACCCAGTCTAACTCTCAAACCGCTTCCGGCCATCTTCCCACCAGGCCTTGCCGCTGATCCAGGCAATCGGGGAGTCCTACACACACTATGGGCTCGCCAACGCCTGGCAGCCATAGATCGGGAGGTAGCCAACGAGCTTCGTAATAATGCTGAGGGAGTGGGTGTTGAGATGGCCCTCGCAGAGAGGCAGTGGATTCTCGACACATTTATCAACACGCCACAACTTCCCAGTGATTCCATGCCTCGTCCTGTAGCTACTCGTTCACCTACGGGCCGCTTGGGGGACAAGCTCAAAGGTCTCAAGCTAGCCACATCACCTGCTGATCTAACACCGAGCACGACAGGTATTTGGGATCCATCGCTCCAGTCCCTGTGCACAAGCTGACTTCTCTCAAAAGCGAACACCTTCATGAGCCCCATTAGTCAATCTCATCCGTTTCAACCCAGAGGGCGTGATATCGCTGTGTCGTCCCATGAGGCCATGGCCAGCAACGCATCCACAGGTCCCATATCGCTGAATGCTGCACTACATGGCGACCTAACCACAGCTGCCTCGGCCCCTGTCAGACCTCTACGACGAGATGACGACGACGATCTGTTTGCTCTGCCCATGAGTCCACGCAGCCCAGATATGAAGAAGAGTCCTTTCAGCGCACTATAATGGGAACGCGGGCTTTCTTCTTTTTCTATTACTCATGGCGCCATTGCAGAGGATTAGCAAGTTTGTACGGCTTTCAAAGTCAGTGACATAGATACCCATGTTGGATAAACGAGCGTTGGTTATAGTGGGAAGCATTCAACGGCATATCCGTCGCAGCTATATCGCATGTAACAGTTTGTCGTGTTATAAAATTGATGTCTAACCTCAAAGGGGACGAATCTGGGGTAATCTCTACAGGGCTGAAGCAAATGTTCAGCGCGTGCTTCTGTGTCGTGATTCGTAAGCGCTGGTGATCTATACCAGGGAAGATCGGATACCTGAAAGGTCAAAAATACAGTGTCATGTATCAAACGCCCACGCCGTATAAACGCCTAGAACTCATCATCTCCATCCACCGACACGTCCCTCGTCCCATCTCTCTTTCCTCTCTTGCCTCAAATAGTATTGGACTTTAGCCTCTCTATATTTACGCACCCAATCAGTAACCTCCCTCTCCGTTGCTGATACACCTTCTCCCTCTCCGTCAAGGAAACTCTCCTCCATAGCCTCGCACACCGATGCCTGCTCCTGGACGCCCTGTCCCAGCTGCTGGTATAAAGCTGCTGGTGAGAAAGGCGCCAGCGCGTGATCCATGTCAGACTGTTTCTGGCGCCATTGTCGCTCGAGTGTGTGTGTTGAGAGAAGCTGTGCCTGTGTCGATGCGCGCTGATGGGATAGCCGAGTTTCCATGTCCGTGAGTTGGCCAGCTAGGTCGATGTTTTCGTTGAGGGCGGCGGATAGAGCTTGATGCGATACAAGCAGGGAAGGGTGAATGGATTCAGGAGAGTGCGTTAATGCGTTGAGGAGAGTTGGGTTACCAAGCAGTTCAGCCAGGTCTTGTTTTCTTGCCACAGAATTTAGAATTGCACTCTTGAGGTTGGGTTATCACATACGACTTGTCCTGTAGAATCTGAGGGAGCCATTGCTCGCCTGGGTCGGGAATTGACGCTGGTGCGTTGTTCACAGTGTTGGAGGGTATGCGGCCTTCGGATGGTGGAGGTACCCCTGATGTGGTCGGCGTCGCAATGCGACTCGTCTCATGGCTACCAGGCTTGGGGGGGAGAACAGGAGGAGTTGCGCCGTGCATATCAGCTGCGAAGCTTGCCATTGCAGTTGTCGCTCTGCTGAGCTGTTTGCTGTTGGGAAGTACCCTAGTTAGGAGTGAAGGCGATATGGAGTTCCCTTAGGTAAGATAGGTAAACTTCCATTCCCATTGAGTTGGAGTTGGAAGATGCAGGTCTAAAGTGGGGGAGCTTCTGACAGATTGTGTCATAGGCCTGGCCCCAACGTTTCGGGTATCATCAATCTCGGAGTACCTGATCAGAACACTACGGAGTAAAGAAAGTGGAATATGTAATTATTTGTAAGCCAAATCCGTCGTCTTATCATCTGAGTTTTCTGTTCTTATTACCTCAATTGACTTATCGAGATGCAGAACGTTTCTTCATTGACTCAATTCCTATTATGTACTGATTCCGACCAACACCCCTAATATTTTACAATTCATGCCCGTCTTCACCAACTGAGAATGATAAATTCATGCGTACTTGCCGGAGTCGACGCCCAGGTAACGAAATAACAACTCGACAATCAGTCAACAGATACGAGTGATGACAGAATGGAAAGAAGCCTTTCATGGCCTGACAGACCACAGATCCCGGGACCAACCCATCTCTCGCAGCTTCTTGCTGCCAGTGTTCGTGGTTCTCTTTTCACCAGTGCTGATGGCCAATGCCTTGCTGCTGGCAGCAAAGACTTCCACCAGCTCCTTCATTCTTCCGGCTTCTAAGAATGCAACCGACAGATCCGAATCGCGCTCTGCAATGATGGAAGCAAGCTCCATACACTCCAGGAGGTTGTCTCGAGACAAGCCAGTGCCAGCAAAGTGCAGCGTGCCAACGTATGCTAGAACTGTTTCGGGGAGATAGGCTTGACGGAGATCTCGTAGTTCTTGATCACCTTCTAAGGTGTGTGTCAGCACTGATATGGCCTGATTACAGGGGCTCACTTACCCTCGATGCCCACCAGGAGCCAGTTCTTGAGAAGAGGCTGCATGTTTTCTTTTGTGTTCTTGACTTCATCGCCAATAGCATTCCAGAACTCTCGGTTCTTCTTTTGGTCCCTGTTTCTCGTTAATATCATGACCGTGCCTGCTTCAGAGTTTTCTATTTTGGCGTACTCATTCGTAAGCTCGGCTAGCGACGCGACTGTCTCCAAGCTATCCAGGGCTCTCACTAGATTCTCTAGTTCGCGGAAATTTCGGGCATCGGAAAGTGCTTGTTGCGGTGTCACGTCCCGAATACCTCTCCGATCAAGTTGCCTAGCCCAAAACTCGGGAATGTCTTCGTATAACTCCATCTCATCACCGTTTTCTTCAGTAGCTGCATGAAGGATCTCTGAAAACGGAACTCGCTTCATCAGCTGACGAGCAGCGCTGAGGTGCATGTTGCCTACGGCGTTGTCAGTTTTCGACCGATTGCTTACAGCAAAATAACTCACGTAAAAAGAATTTGTAGATCTTGGTCCCCATAGACAACACGTTGGGCCATGTTTCTTGCACCAGTACCAGCCACTCTAGTGATCGGATGAGGTTCTCATGTGCCTGATCAACGAATCTTTCATCATCACCAAAGAAATCGGGCCTCACAGGACGACCGCTGCGTGAAGTGGGTGGGCCAGGCTCAATGATGCTAAATCCTTCCTTGGCAGGACATCCATGTTGCGCCGGACCCAAATCATCGAACAGAAGCCACGCCTGAGTCTTGACGAACTCCAGCACGTCGATGCCAGCTTTCCCAATAAGTCTCAGTTGTAGTAAACGTCGACTCGCCTCATTTTCAGGAATGAGATTGTAGCTAAGCACCTCATATGACCGAGGGGGTTCCAAAATCGAACAGTAAAGAGGTATTAACTCATGAAACTCCGCAAGGCGAAGGTAATTCGCGTACCCGGCAATGAGATTTTGTTGGTAACGTCTCATTTCAGGAGGAGAAAAGGCAGGGGCGAGAGAATCGTCCTTCGAGTTCAGCTTATCCAGGAGGTTGATGAGGAGATAGATATGTGCGACAATCCGCAGGCCGTAGTGCTGCGTGGACTGAAAGAACCTCTCCTTGTTTACCTCAAGCTTACTGGGCTTTGATCTGTAGAGTGCTGACTCGTTGTGATTTGCCCCAGAAGAAATGATCCAGCCTTGCTGATAGAGATGCTGACCAATTTCCCTGGAAATCAATGATGCCTGCAACGCCTTATTGGGTTCGTTCGCTTCGTCTTTGATCTGAGGGTTGGCTTCCAAAGCTCGGATTAGACGCATGTCAACTGTACTTGGCTCACCGTGAAATTGAATAGCGTCAAATGAAGGAAACGATTGTGTGAGGTTTGAAGCAACGTCGGCTGGGCATTGTCCAAGTATGTAGTTGTCAAGCTGTGTGCGTAGCAATGCATTGTAGTTTGCAAAAAGGAAATCATCCCAGTTCAGGGCAACTTTCTCGACGCTCGGGATGTCTCCTGATAGGACACCATATACCGCACGCTCGTAGTCATCACAGCCACCAGATCGAGACAAGCTGAAGCACATTCGTCGCCACAGAGCAAGCGATGCTGGTTTAGTATCCGTCACTTCCTGGCTGCCGTCGGCTGAAAGAAGTATCGCAGAGGTGGAAATAGCCCGCCACATTTCGGTTCGTTCTTGACACCATTCACGGATAGTGTCCAAGCTTGATCCTCGGCGAAGGTGTTCCCAGCAACCCAACCAAATGGCACGCTCAAAATACTCATCTTGCGGTTCAAGTTTTCGTCCCTGGCGAGTCGCAGCGTCTGGGTCCAGCTGTGTCACCAGAGGTGAGCCATCTGAGGTGTGAAATGAGGTCGCAATAGCTGGTGACTGGCGATCCAGTAGATGGGGCCAGGCTGTCACGCTCTTCCGAAGCTTGATTGAGGAGCGAGTGTGAAGCCAGCCGTGAGCGATGATATCTCCACGGTCGGCATTTTGCTGGAGTTCATGCGCGAGCTCGTTGATATCAGGTCCCGAAGAAGCATTGCTCTGGAGCCATTGTATGACTGCTTGTCGTTCGTGCGCCGATGAATCACTAGCAAGGAAACTCTCAAACAGGTCTCCTGAATCCATGGAGCTCCGTTCGGGTTTGGAAGCGCTCTGCCTGTCATCAGAACTAGCATATCTCAGTGGAAGGAGCCTGCGCAACAGATCCCATGTCTGCGCTTCCCTCTCGAGACGTTTGACAAGCTCTGCTGAGGCAGGGTTGCTATTAGCAACATCGTCGTCTGCATCCATATCGATATCGTCTTGTCCGTTGCGCATCATGCGCGGTCGAACCTGTGCTAGGCGTCGAAGGGCATTCTCGTGGTATTTTCTAGGTAGGTCTAGAATTCGTTCTCGTCGTTCTTCGTTTGAGAGGGGGGGGGAGAGACAGTCGTCGAGCGCGTTGGCGAACTCTTCGACCTCGGGCCCGGCTTCGTAAGATAGAAATTTCTCAGCCTCGACAGGTGCCATTTCAGTGAATCAGGTTGGTCTGTCTTGGGGATTGTCAAATCGAGTGTATGGTTTAGTACACAGCGCGAAGAAGCAAACAACCCTTTTCGGCAGGCTTCGGCCGGTGGGTCAAACGTAAAGATCGATCGAAGCCGTAAGCATGCCCAGCATGGGGATGGGTATTTTGTCGCGTGTATCGCTTTTGTGAGTGTGAAGGAAGGATTATGCCAGTGGGGTTTGCCGAAGATGCTTGTGCAGGTTTGATGCTCAGGCAGAAGAATCAAAGAATTGTTTTGGTTGCTGTTGCACTGGCGCGCTGGTTAGAGCTCTAGGCGGTACGTACTGTTCTTTCGTTACAATGTTTCTTATTGGATAAATACCTAAATTCATGGGTGTTATGTACGGTATTGCCTTAGTGCCTTAGTACTAAAAGAAAGGCTCTTTCCAGGTACCTAGTACCTTTTAAGCAAGCTTGGACTTTTGCGCTAAAAAGAAAACAGCCGCGATTACACACGCGCGTATCGTACAGTGTATCTTGTGATATTAATCGCACTCAACACTGTCCTGGTTCAAGTACGTCTCCACCGAACAGCAAATTTTTTTTTTTCTTCTTCTTCTCTATCATAATGTCATCGGCATTCGTATTAGAGTCTCGGAACAGGCCTTCAATGCTTGTTCAGGTCCATGAGGCCTCTTGCGTGCTCAACGATCGCCTAGAAGAGATTCGGCGCTCATCATTCTAGTTGCCAGCGTTTCCCAAACCGGCGGACACACCAAAGACGAGCGTTACATATCATTTAGCTTCCTCCCGGAGTTGCTTCATCTTGAGCTTGAGAAGATTGGGCTTCGGACAGCTCACAGTAGATGCATTTTCGCCGTAGCGTTCGTAAAACGCTTCACAGCATTCGTAAAGTCGCTTGATTGCAGTTTGGCACTTGGCCTCGTTGTAGCCATTGCTGGTAAGACAGTCTTGTGGTATATGGGTCAGTATTTTGTCTCCATCTTACATTCTCGTGTCTGGGGGGAAATACTTTGAATTGCACACTGCACATGTGTCAGATCACAATGTTCGTTCTGATGTCATTAGCTTTGGAACTTACTGCACGTGGGTGACAAGCAGGCTTCGCCTCGACATCATCTTTCGAAGCCTAGAGTCATCCATCAGCTTCTACCGAACGTTTTACTCTATTGTTTATCGCGAGACGAACCATGGTTGTGTATAATGTAATAATTTGCAGTGCAGTTGGTGGTTTTGCGGATTAATAAATCAATTAGTGAGTACTAAAAATGCATACAGACTGGGAGAATATGAATGTTGCGTATATGTCTTGCCTTTTGCGTAGTATTAATAAATAAATATTAATTTACAGCAGTAAAAGAGGACGACATATATATATATATATATAAATTAAACAGACAGGACTGATGTCATACATATGGATACCTTGTATAGTACCTACTTACCTTAGTATAGGGTAAGTGTAGTACGGGTGGTTCGTTCGAAGCTCGAGATAGCCAATAAAATACAGTCGTTCGTCTCTTGGCCCCACCTACACGGTTGAAGTTGGGCTCTTTCGCTCGCTTGATGTTTAACTGAGTACTGAACGAAGCGCGAGAGGCAACTGACCTTAGCAGGTAAGTTTAAGGCCGATTGCCTTCTAATCCGTCTATCTTAGTAGGCTCATCACCCACCATAGCCTTTTATACCTCCCACCTACAACATATCTGTTCAACCTTTTTTCCTCACACACACACCGGCCGCCCGATCTTTACTCCTCTTTACACGCTCGTAGCTCGCCGGCCAAACGCGCATAACGCGATCATCACCCCCACTTGCCAAACTTGCCATCAACGACCATCGTGCAGACGTCCCAAGGTAACGCCATGATTATTGCGATCGCTCGCTACACTTTCACTCCTGCACTTCACATCGAGCGACGCGCTGACGTTGTTTCTTACTAAGTGCATAGATTTCATCCAGACCAATTCAGAATGTCCAACGAGAACGAAAACGGGACTCCTGGCGAGCAGGCACCCGCCAACTCCGAGCACCTCAACATCAAGGTCACCGACAACAACAACGAGGTCTTCTTCAAGATCAAGCGTACTACAAAGCTTGAGAAGCTTATGGGCGCCTTTTGCGAGCGCCAGGGAAAGGCGACCAGCTCCGTGCGATTTCTTTTCGACGGCACGCGAGTCCAACCCACTGATACGCCCGATGCGGTATGTTTTCCCTTTTTTTTTTTGCAGGCACAGATATTTCATATCTATGTTCGAATTGCACCCCGCTGAAGACCCCCCGGAGAGATCACACATGCTGACAAGTTACATCACATAGCTCGAGATGCAGGATGGCGACACCCTCGAGGTCCACCAGGAGCAGGTTGGCGGATTTGCACAGTAATAGAGAGGGGGATTTCCGAGGAATAATTACCAGGAGGAAGATCCCAAAAGAGATGAACACACAATCTTGATGTTCTTGAACTGGATTTCGATTCAACCTGGTTGTACTTTTGGCTTTGCGTACATCAGACGAGAGGAAGACTGAAACAAAAAGTCGACGAATGATTTACGACAGACAAAACGCTACCCAATCAACCCAATGCCCCTCTATTCCCGCTGTGACTCGTGTGGTAAACTGTATGGTTTTTCTTTTCACTTCCGCAGCAGTGGTACGAACGACCTGTGTGTTTTGGCCTCATGGAGGATACGCCCACCCAATCTTGCTCTTAAGGTTACGTTTACAAAACAACAATGCGTCAGGATCACACAGATATGGGGGGGGGAGACAACTTGATATGTATCACGTAGACGGAAACGAAGTTTGTGTGTTGGCCATTGAAAGTTGAAACCACGGACTTACAGTTCGCGCCGTGTCTATTTTGCCTTATGGCCAAGATGTTCCAATGAGACAATCTACATGATCAGTTGAGCGCTAAGTGCGCCGCTCGCCTGGAAACACCCATTAAGACCAAATCAGAAGCACAAAACAAATCATATGCTGACCGGCAAACCTGAAGGGAAACAGACCAACCACGAAAGAAACGCATGCAGAAATCAAAACACGCACACCGAAATCACACACATCATCATCATTACGCTTTGAGTTCCATAGCTCGGCATCCAGTACAGAGCACGATAGTGCCTTCGGGCACATGCTTAGTGAAAATTTGGCCGTCGTCGAAACTGCCCTGACACTCGGCGCATCGGAAGCAATGCTCATGCCACTCTCCGCCTAGTGCTTGGATATACTGTCCGATGACAGCTGTACGACATTTCCTGCACTTCGGAGCACGTCGTTCGGTGCGCTTCGTCTGGCAGTTGATGCACCACGCATAACCATCCTTCTCAATGTGTGTCATGCCATGTTCGAATGGGTCACCACATTCGGCACAGAAGAAGTGACCGTAGTGCCAGTGAGCTCCTAGAGCTACTATGTGTTCACCGAGAATAGGGGTCTGGCAGTGCTTGCAACGCGGCGCAAACAGCTCATGCCAATCAAGGTGACAAAAGAATCGCAGACGCTCATCTCCGTCTTCGGCCATCGTTTTGCCCGGCTCCTCCTCGAGTATCTCACCCGCCGCACGACGTCTGATGCGATCAAGCCGCTCCTGACGAAGATGATCAGGCTCATGGCTAATCTCCATCGCCTGTAGGTTAGTACCACAAGTATAGCAGCTGAAACACTGCGGATGGAATCGTTCATTGCTTCCCGCTAGGGCCACAAAACGCCCTTCAATGGGCATGCCGCATTCATGGCAAATCGTGACAACTCGCCTATTGCTGCCAGGGGCTGGGGACCAATGGCCACGAGGCTTTTGTGCAGAACGGGGTGCTCCCATGGCAATGGGATCAGGTAGCGGACGGGAGGTTGAATTCGGTTTGTCGTCAGGGGTTATGATCGCAGGAATGCTGCCTCCCTTACCCGGAGCCTCACCGATAGCAATATCGGGGACGTTGATCGAAGTTACGGAGCCTCTAGGGCTATGAGATGTCTCGTCTATGCAGATCGACGGGATTTTCGTTCCCGTTGGCGCCCTGGGCACCGACGAACTTTCCTCCGCCACAACGATACCAGGTACCGCCATGGGTTTCTCCGGCTGGGCGAAGGAGGAGGAGGATCTGCTGGGGGTTGCCGGAAGCGACCGGTCTGGGGTGGTATCAGTGGACTCGTCCGGGGCTTTCCAGTTGGCGTCGAAGCTTACAATGGGCCGTCCCGGACTGTCACTGACGGCTGTGGGTTCCGGGAGGTTTGGGCTGCGATCTTTCAAGCGCATGCTCGTGGCCGCGCGAATGTCCTGACTCCGAACTTCCATGCCATTCTTTCTCTCTACCCTGTCATCGACAGAGACGGAGCCATCGTTGGAGCGGTTTCTTGTATATAGAGGATTGCGAGAGCGTGTGGGAGGATTGCGGTGTATTTCAACTCGCTCAAGGGGCTTGGTCTTTTCTTCTTCTTCTTCCCGGGCAGGTTCGAAGCGGACTCGGTTTGTAGCCGCCTGAGCTCGGTTGCTAAGCTTCTCGGGTGATGCACGACCAGAAAAGCTCATGTCATTAGAAGTTGAGGCTTCAGGCTCTTCCCAAATTTGATCTTGAGAAAAGGGACGGCCTACTTCCCCGCTGATGTTTCTTTTCAGACTTCCCTGGCGTCTCTGCTCCGGAGCCTTGCCTGAACGACCAATACTGCCGTATGTCTTGTTTTTGTGATCTGGCTGTATGCCTGGCTGCCTCTGCTCTAACTCAGGTCGGCTTTCACGTTCGACGCCTTCACCATCCGAAGAACTGTCTGAGCATGACCGCGTACCACCGACACTAGCAGTACGAGCATGAGCGTAGCTATTCTTTCTGAGATGTGGCTTATAGCGGTAGGGACCTTCGGGACGGGGAGAAGGCGTGCCATGTTGATGTTGCCAGACAAGCTCAGCAGCTTCATCGAGAGCAGCATTGTATAGACGAGTATCATCCTCAGGAGTTTCCTGAACAGGCGATTTTGTGCTCTTCCTTATGTCCATCTCCTCCATTGCGTCGCGCAGTGAGCTTGCCTCTTCCTTCTCCATCCATCTTTGACCTCGTTCCATGTATGTGGCTGAGGGAACAACGTCCGATGGCCTCAGAGGGGTTGTAGCTGAAGTTGGATAGTAATCTGGGCTTTTCCTGCTGATGGTAGAGTATCTAGAGGCAAGACTGCCACCAGCAACGCTAGGACTTTTCGAGTCCTTACGGTCGAGAATAGGTGGTGCACTTTCGGTAGGAGAAGCAAGATCAGGCGTGAATCGGCCCGTACTATGGCGGTGCAAACTTGAGCGGCTAGGAACTGGGCGGGCACCAGCTGGTTGAGGTCTTGCACCTCCAGGTCTGGCGACTCGGTTTGACCGAAGACCTGCGAGGTAGGAGGCTATTCAGCAGAGGGAGAAATTAGCCAAGGACTTTCATCGCCATACTCAGTTCCGTATGTCATACCGAACTGCTCATCTGTCATGTAAGAAGGCGACGGAGGAGTCACCTTGCGCTTCGGCTCCATCGTCCTTGCTGTGCCTGGCATCTTTGCCAGAATATTAAGGAGAGATATTTATGCGGTATGGAGGAAGAATATTGTGTCCGGTAGAGAAAGGGTTAAAGAGGTGACCAGACGGTAAATACGGAGGATTTTGGCAAGGTATAGAGAGTGATGAAGGATAAGGTAGCTTTACTAAGGTACCTAGGTAGGTATGTAAGGTAGGTAGGTATGAAGTAGTTAGTGGTCGATAAGGTAAGGTAGTTTTGTTGGTGGTCGCAAATCGAGCCGGCTGGGGTTGACCAGGCAACGCGATGTGAGACGGCTGGTTTGGTTGCGTCAGAGCATCACCACCAGCAACAAAAGCCTCTGTCTAAGTATGAGACAGGAATACGAACACTTACAATTTCGATGATATTTGTTGCTGGAAGCTTTGCAAGTCTCGGGCAGTCAGTATATGGCAGTTCCTAGAAATTTCTATGGTGGATAATCGTCCACCGCCATCTGCTAGGTTCTTATGATACAGTAGTTGAAGCGGGGACTGGAGGATTGATGTGTATTGCTCTCATTTGCTCGAATGCTACATATCTTAGTAAGGAATTAGAGTCCGTATTAACCTCAGGCCGTTACGTAGGTAACTACCTAGGTAGGTAACTAAACTATAAGGCAGTGTGTACGAGAGTCAACTCCTTAAATGGCCGATTCCCATGATTACATACCCAGGTAGGTAGGTAGGTATCTGGGAGAAAACGTATTAATTAACTGGTCTCTCCTCTCAGTCCTTGGTTCCTTCCCTTATCACCCTCTAGCGTCGCTTTTACAGCTGAAGGAGGTGGAGATTCTGTGAAACCAAGGTTCTTGAATTCGTCCCTGGCCATCAAGTTTCTAAAGTACCCGTCGCTATTAGCCCGCTTTGTTCCGAGATATTTGACTACGTGTATGCGTCATAAGTCAAAGCATTATAGGCTCACCTGTCCATTCTGCATGATAGATACGCCTTTGCAAGTTCGCGACATTCTTCGTCATTTAGACCTCGCACCTTTTTCATACATGAAAGGTACTTTGTCATGTAAGTCTTGCACTCGCCTGCAGTGACTCTGGTCAAAATTGTCCCATTGAATGTGTTGGCTTGTACAGCCCACTCACCATCATGATCTAGAGGGAAGCTTCCACGCTGTGGTCTGCTCAGAAGGACACAACTGTTTAGTGAATTGTTCTCAGTAGACGATGTCAAACTCACGGTGTTGGCTTTGTAGTTGGCAAAGGGCCGGGGCTACCGAAAGTACTCATGATTCCGTATCTGTATTGGTCTTCTGGCTGATTTCTATTGCATCTATTACCATCTTCATGGTTTCTTTAGCACAGCAGAAAAGTCAGGCCTTGTGGCGAACCTCGTTAAAGCACCTAGTGGTGGATAAGAACATCCTGTCAGGTGTGGCTGGTGACGTGGCATGGACTCTGCAACGCAACTCCGGACTAAACCAGGTGGGTGCGAAAGCGGTCAGAAGGCATGGCCTGGTGCCTACCTACCTTACCTTAGGTACTTACTTACCTAGGGAAGGCACCTCATAGCCGAGAAACCTCCGGTAGAGGCCAGTAAAGCAGCCTAGAGCTAGGCATTACAGGGCCTAAAAAATAGGTGCTAGGTACTAACCTAGGTAGGTTGCCAAACCTACCCTAGGTACACTACCTTGGCCTGGGGGTGGTTGAACATTAGTTCCCTATATATGCAAACACACGTGAATCACCCCAAAAGTGCTCTCGACTCCACTGCGCAAAGCGAAGCAAAGCAAAGCAAAGCCATCCTCAGCCTGAGCCTGAGCTTCCCAGACCGAACCGCATGAACTCCCGGAACTGACGACGGATTTTGAATTTAGCGACAACGCGCGCATTGTTCGAAATATCCTCCGTGTCCTTGTGTTTGTCTTGGGTTTCGTGACGGACGTTTCACTTGACTCTACTGTCCAGTCCAGTCCAGTCCAGTTCTGTCCTTTTGTTTCTGTCATCGGTATATCCCAAACTCGCTCGTCACAAAATCGGACTCTTATCATCATGGCTGCTCTTGGCGAGGATCTGCTCACCACGGTCAACAAGCTGCAAGACTTGGTCTTCAATACCATTGGCAGTGACTCTTTGGATCTCCCTCAGATTGTATGCGGTTTTTGCTACCTGAATTGGCTACTCTAGCACTGACTGACCATTGCCTAGGTTGTTGTCGGTTCCCAATCTGCAGGCAAATCTTCTGTCCTTGAGAATATCGTCGGCCGAGATTTTCTACCACGCGGAGCCGGCATCTGCACTCGTCGTCCCCTGATCCTTCAGCTCATCAACGTTACCGAAGATGAAAACGCTCCCGACCCTGCAAGCGATCCTTATCGATCCCCCGGCGCTGCACGCCGTTCCGAGTGGGCAGAGTTCCACCACATCCCCAACCGGAGGTTCAACGATTTTGGCGATGTCAAGCGCGAGATTGAGAACGAGACATCCCGAGTTGCCGGCAACAACAAGGGTATCAACCGACAACCTATCAACCTCAAGATCTACTCTCCTCATGTTCTGAACTTGACTCTGGTGGATCTGCCGGGACTAACCAAGGTGAGTTTCCTGTTCTTTCCATCTCCATGATCCTTAGCTTCGTTTTACCCCTGGGCATTACTGACCATAGCCAACCCATAGGTCCCCATTGGCGACCAGCCTACCGATATTGAGAAACAGACTCGAAACCTCATTTCCGAATATATTGCCAAGCCTAATAGCATTATCCTCGCCGTGTCTCCCGCCAACGTCGACATCGTTAACTCGGAAGCCCTCAAACTCGCCCGCCATGTTGACCCCCTTGGCCGAAGGACTATTGGTGTCTTGACAAAGGTCGACCTCATGGATCATGGCACAAACGCTCTAGATATTCTTTCAGGCCGCGTCTATCCTCTAAAGCTTGGCTTCATCGGCGTTGTCAATCGATCGCAGCAGGATATTCAAGGAAACAAACCTATGGAGGATGCTCTCCAGGCCGAGGCTGACTTCTTCAAGCACCATCCTGCCTATCGTAACATCTCCATTCGATGTGGCACTCACTATCTGGCTAAGACCCTCAACACTACTCTGATGGGTCATATCCGTGAGCGTTTGCCCGACATCAAAGCTCGACTCAACACTCTTATGGGGCAGACGCAACAGGAGTTGGCCAGTTATGGTGATATGCATTTCAGTGGAAAGGAGCACCGTGGCTCTCTCATCCTTCAGCAAATGACACGTTTCGCCAACTCTTTCATTTCTTCCATTGACGGTACCTCGACCGAGATTTCCACCAAGGAGTTATGTGGCGGCGCTCGTATTTACTACATTTTCAATTCTGTCTTCGGCAGCGCACTTGACACTATCGACCCTACATCCAACCTCTCCGCCCTCGATATCCGGACCGCTATTCGAAACTCTACTGGACCCCGACCCAGTCTTTTTGTGCCGGAAATGGCTTTCGATCTTCTGGTCAAGCCTCAGATCAAGCTTCTGGAAATTCCTAGTCAACGTTGTGTTGAACTTGTCTACGAAGAGCTGATCAAGATTTGCCACACTTGTGGCTCCACCGAGCTTTCACGATACCCCAGACTTCAGGCCAAGCTCATCGAGACGGTCTCAGACCTGCTCCGTGAGCGTCTTGGTCCTGCTTCGTCATATGTCGAATCACTCATCTCTATCCAGCGCGCCTATATCAATACTAATCACCCTAACTTCCTTGGCGCAGCCGCCGCCATGAGTAACGTAGTCAGTGCAAAACAGGAGCGAGAAAGAAAAAGGCTGATCCAGGAGGAGCGCGAGCGCCGAGAAAAGCGGCGTCTGCAGGAGCTTGAGGCTGATGGTGATGGCCCTGAAAATGAGGACGGTGTCAGTGGCCCTCTTGATAAGCCTGAAAAGACGAAGTCAGGAAGAACCAAGGCCATGAAGCCTCCTCGAAGCATATCGCCTTCTCTTTCAGTCCGAGAGAACGGAACCTCCAGCCTTGCTGCCACTATGAACGCGACGCATTTAAATGGCACTCTTCGTTCAGCTTCACCTGCTCGACTCAACCAACAGGGACTCGGAGGTGCCCGAGATTCCTTCTTGAACTACTTTTTCGGCAAGGATGGCCAGACCATTGGCGGTCCCCTCCCAAGTCCTGGCGCCATGCCCAATATGCCCAACGGACGACATATCAGCCAAAACTCGGAGACTAGCTTCCCTATTGTGCGTCGGGAGAGAGAGTTTGCCCGGCCATCTACAGCGACAACAATGGCCCCCGAGGATGACTTGTACGATAGAACAGGGAAGAACTACGGCTTGGCATCCCAGATGGTAAGTTCCGAGGATCTACAGGTGCCCGGTCTCCTCTTCTCACACGAAACTAACCCCCACCACCAGGGTGAATCCGCGGAGCCAGCTATGACAGATCGCGAGGCCATGGAGACGGAGCTTATCCGAGCTCTTATCTCTTCCTACTTCAACATTGTTCGCGAGTCCATCGCCGACCAGGTCCCTAAAGCTGTCATGCACCTCCTCGTTAACCACTGTAAGGACGTCGTTCAGAACCGCCTCGTTAGCGAGCTCTACAAGGAATCTCTCTTTGAGGAGCTCCTTTACGAGGATGATGGCGTCAAGAAGGAGCGTGAGAAGTGCGAGCGCTTGCTTCAAACCTACCGTGAGGCCGCTAAGATCATTGGTGAGGTGTTGTAGATTCAGCACTGATTTTGATCTATGGGTTTCTGGCAAATGGTCACCATGCGACAGCGTCCCGTTCAACCTGAGAATAATGAAGAAAAGAAAGACCAGTAACAGGCATATACGGATGGAAGGATAGACTCGAAGGAGAAAGGCGGAACATACTTGGAAACACCAAACAATGTCGATCGCTTTTGGTCAAGGGCTCGGGCTCTTGAACCAATCTCGACTGCTCTGCTCTATCGGGGAGCAGAGCAGGAGAAGCAGAACAAAGGAGAGAAACGAGAGAAGAAAAGAGTGTTGTAATTTTGTTCTTTTCATTATCATCGGTTTCCCTTCTTATCTTGTACATCACCAACTGGCATTGGAATTGCGGCCAGACCCAGCTTTAGTTTCTGATAATGGCTCTAACGAGAAGACGGATCGGAACACAAGAGGAGGGCTTGTATGTATGGATGTATGTATGTAAAAAAAGCAAACCAAACTCGGCTCGTCGTCCTAGCAGAATACACACAATGTACTACTTTTATAATATCCGTCAAACGACGAATACGTTCTCTGAACTGCTTGAGGAAAGGATTGACTTCAAATGAGGAAAGACATTATACATGCGATGTTGCAGCTTGCATATATATATATATATGTATACACGAATCGGCACTAGACTAATTAGTTGGTGTTATCTTTCCCATTACGATACTGAAGTACATCGAATAAATCATCGCTGGCTCCCATGGTCCGCTGGTGTCCCCCTTGCTGCACAAGAAGGATGTCGTGGGTTGTTGTGATTAGTCATAAGAGGAGGCCGACTCGGAATATGAGGATCTGTTCCATAACTCAAGTTGTAAACCGAAGGGCCGTGAGCTATTCCTTGTTGAGGGAATATGCTCTGCTCTGGTCGTGGCTGTCTGGTCTCATAGGCATGGTATGGCCTACCAGTCTGTCGTACAGGGCGCCTGATGAAGTAGTCGCCGTCCGGATGATGATGATGAGTCTCAACGACTTCGTATGCATCTGAAAGCTCTAGCGGAGGATGAGTACCGTGACGATTATGATAGAAATGATCGGAACTAGCAGGAGAATCGAGGTGGCGGGCTTGTGTTGCATATTGAGCCTGAGGGCTAGGTTCTTTATAATAGAATTCACTATGGTTGTTAAACCATGAGGGTGAGGGTCGGGCATGCTCGCCAAACCTTTCAGTATTGGCCGGGCCATATCTGGATTCCTGGGGTAGGGTATTTCGGGCTCTGAGACCTCTTCCGATCTCCCGTCCGGATTCATCAACGTAGATGACCTCCTCCTCTTCAACCATGTGGTGGTTATGGGCCACATGAGGTTCTTCCCGCCCCCTTCTTTCGACCTCCGCGTAGCTAGGTGCTGCGGCGGCCAAGGCGGCCACTAACGGATGATGGTCTTGGGGCCGGTCGCCAACCGATGCGCTCCTGTTACGTGGACTAGCTGGTGCTGGGCCCGAATAACGCCGTTCTTGGACGTCACGGTAATCGGATGATTTTTCTTCGCGCCAATGAGCCTTGTTCTGCGGCACTGTGGGATATGAAACACGATAAGTGGTGACTTCCCCCTCAGTCTCGACTCCGACATCAACCTTTTTGCTTCGGTTATGTGTATCTTGAAACTTTTCGGAGTACGGCGGCAAGTAGTTGCCAAACGTTGAAGCACTATCAGCGGCTTGGGATGCAGGTTTCCCTTGTTTCCTTCTAGCCCCGACCACCTTTTGACCATAAACCTCGCTTGCTGGACGAAGATATGGTATGTCTGGCTCAGACTCGATTTGTGAAGAAAAGCGCAGATCTAGTCGACTTGATGCCAAGGACTGACTTCCCAGATCCGCATGACCTAGTTGCTGCGTTTGCTCTCTGACATGCCCGACGTCACTCTGCTGGCGTTCTTCCCTTGACCGATTGTTTGGTAGAGCAGTGAAGATCTGAGCTGGTGTCTGCACCGACACTGACACTTGCGGATGTGGGGTGTTGTTGGGTGTTGTTTGCACAGGCTTCAAAGCATATTTGTCTATGAAGGCTTGTTCGAATGCCCAGGGAAGGGCCTCCTTAACAAGAGTGGACAAGACAGAGTCTCCCCGAGTCTTGATTTCCAGTCCAGCCATTCGCTCGTTTTCAGGCATCTTTATCATTTCTGTTCGCCAATCCATATGTGCTCGTCCTTGACTCCGGGGCTTGTCGACATGCTCTGATTCAAAATGTCTGGCGAGTTGAGGAACGTGAAAGATGTTGTCGTCGTTGCACACTTTGCAAGAAACGCCATTGAGAGCCCTCAGACTGCGTAATTTCTTATTTTTCGATGTGGCGTCGATGAACAGCGACAATGGTAAGGTCTCGCTCTCAGACGCCTCAAACAGTTTGCTAGCATGGTAAATGGTGACGTAAGCCCTAACTGCAGGTGGGATCTTCTTATGATGCCCAACCTTTGACCAGACAGATTGAGTGCTCCTGACAAAATTTTCATGTTGGTGTTGATGAGTGCTGTTGGCCGAGGCGACGCTATTGCTATCGTAGTAGCTGGGATATGCTCCACCCTCGGAAGGGTTAGGAGCTGGAACTGATCTTGTGTAGTTGTTCAACTGTCTTTGAGAGCTATGTGCCATCCCCGAAGAAAACAGTCCTGGATATGAAGAATATGTTGCAGGGTCGTAATATGCTGTTGCCGAGTAAGATGGACCGTAGATATGGGGTGAATTTTGCCCGTATGCAGATACAGGAGGAATTGGAGGCCTGGAACTGTAGAACGAGAACGGCGGCGCTTCTGCGCTGTAAACAGACAGAGGATATCCCGCTGGTGTACCAGGTTGAAAGACAGAATAGCTTTGTTGAATTGGCACATTTGACGCGAGTGCGCTCCGTGGCTCGTTGTCATGATAGGCTTTCTCTTTGGCGAGAGGATCAGGACTAAAAGGAGGCACTTCAGGCCACTCCGCTCTCCAGTGCACGACAACATTCCCCAGACTGAGAGAAGCCGTGTGCTTGGCTGCATAGTGTTGAAGTACGCCCTCGAATCCAAAGAATTTCAAGACTCCATTCACACCGAGGCAGCTGTTACAAAGAAACAACTCCTTGCGCATAGGTTCGGTACGGGGTTTGATTTTGACATCAAAGACCCACTTCATGTTCTCCAATGTCAACCGTTGAGTCCAAGGCCCCTCTGGGGGCTCGACAATCGGCTTCTTCCCTGCCGCGATTGTGGCAGCAGTGTCCTTTGCAACTTCGGCATAGAACCTTTTACGAACGTAAAGCAGCACATCTGCGGCATATTGCGGACAATTCTTTCTCTTAACCTTGGCGCCGTTGTTCCATCCTTCGATGATTTCGTCTGCATATTCGGATATGCGCGCTCGAACGGGTCCCTGTGTATCGTCCCATTCCTGGTCTGTAACTTCTCTTGGCTCCCTAGCGGGCTTTTTATCAGCCTCCATTGTCGGAAGCTTGTCTTCAAGTGTTTGGGGGTTGCTATAACTTTGCTTCTCTCGCAGCTCCGCTTCTACCCTCTGAGCGAGAAGACGGGGCTTCAAGAGTTCCCATGCGTGATCATCAAGGGGCGTGATGAGTTGAAGTGCTGCCTGAAAGGATGGAATATGAGCCAGAACATTTGCAGTCAACGGAGGATCAAGTAGCATGGCTCGATTCTCAATGTCGGTCCGTCTTTGAGCCTTAAGGTGAGCTGCCTCCTCCTTCGTCCGTTTTTGCTGAACTGGAGTCCGTAAGGGGTGGAGTTTAGCCTCCAATGGCACTATTGACCCACGGCCGTCATCTGCAACAGGTGCTTGGCGATGGTGCTCGCCGATTGACTGAGCGGGATCTGATGGAGTCTTATCAAGGGGAGCTGAAATAGCCAGAGGCGTAAATGAAAATGGAGCTTCTGCTTTGGAAGCAGTCTTCGGTGCTTGAAACTGAGTCATCCCACCTGTACTAGCCCATTTTTCCCAACGAGAGGCATCAGCCAGAGCCTGCTTTCCTCGGATCTCTAGACCTTTTATCCACTCTTCGGCAGCAGCAGACCCAAGTGCCTTAACATTTTCGAATTCCAGCTTGATTTGTTCAGCATGCTCCAACCAAAAGAGTTTTGTGACCTGGATATGTGGCGGCACAGTCCCCGCTTGTATGGCACGGGGGTGTATAACATGCATATCGGCATCCACAAGTACTGGGGGAAGAGCTGGGAGCAGAACAGATGGAAATGAAGAAGACAAGAGAAGTTCTAGTTCCTATTGCTGACGTTAGAATTGCATCCGGGGAGAATCCTGGAAACGCCTACCTTGACGCCGTTTTTCTTCAGGCAATTTCCGCAAGCGAAGACACAAAAGGGGAAAATAGGACAGACGTCACTAGGACCTGGACCACGACACCAAGCTTCGTTGTTCGAAGATGGTAGTGTTTTCTGGCTCTGCAAACCACAGAGTTGGCAAGACACGGAACAAACGAGACGCCACATCTGAATCTCCGATTTCCCTTTTAGGGGTGCAGGCATACGCGGCCAAAACAGTCTTCTTGAAGCTTGCCAGATTGCATCTGGCTTCAGTAAAGGAAAGGATGACGGTATATCATTATAACATACTGGGGAATGAGTGGAAAGGGGGCTAAGAAAGGCATGGAATAGTTTGTTGACAACCAACAAACGACCCAGGTCTCTGGGTGGTACAAGAGTGAAGATATGTTGCCATATCTGTCCCGGAAGCTGCTTGGCTCGGTCCCTCAAAAGACTCTGAGCCGCCGGGCATGGAAGATGGGCTTTATCAAGTTTAACTTTCTTAGTTTGCTGAACAGACTTGCAATCTATTGACTGGCGCCTTTTTTTGGTGGGCTGGGAGATGGCATCGAGTAGAGCCGCTGCAGGGTCATGGCTAGAGGCTTCTGAGGGTTCATAACCCATATCATCAGCCATGGGCACGTCGGCCTCGCTTCTACCACTAGTTGTTGATGCTCCCTCGGTGACGGCTGAACCAGAGGTGCCGGCCCCTTGATTCTCTGGGATAACCATCCCTC